ATCTTTGTATGGAAATGCTATGAGCATACCTACTAGCCGATGGGACAGCCAGAGGTTGTGAGGCTCTCTCCGCCAGAAGGATGGGACCTACCCACTAATGCTTCAAGGCGCCATCACGGCACAATCAAAGGCCAATGACAGGTCGCGCGACCCATGACAGTTCGCGCGACCCATGACAGTTCACGCGACCTGTCATTTCCCTATGATCGTACCGTGATCGCGCCGGCGATGGCGATCGGCACATGTTGAAGGTTCAAACCCGACGGTGTCCTCTGGAGCCTAATGAAACGGAGCCGCGAGTAATTGTCGCTGTTGCGCTCGCACTCACTGCGGGCGCCCGTCGCACAGTCGCGACAGCAATATAATTACGCGTGAGCGATAAGGATGGGTAGCTTGGGGTCATTGGACAAAATTCTACGTGCTCGGAGACCGGGCTTAGTCGCTGTTTGATTTACGTTATTCAACCAATTTTCAATAAATACCCGCACACCCAAAAGAAATAATAAAAAGTTGTCAAGTCCTACATGTGTGTTTACCTCCAGCGCGGTGGGGCTCTGCGCGGGCAGCTCGTGCGCCGACAGCGGGCGCTCCGCCGCCGACACCAGGGAGTTCTTCTTGCGCCCGCCGGAGCCCGGGGTATTGACTACTATTCCTGTCGTTTAACTTTCCCCCGGGACAAACTTGACCTTCACTAGTTGGGTTTTATTGGCGGTCAAGCTGTAGATCCTGGCTACACAGGAGTTGCAGCGGTGGGAACGAGAGGTGGGAATAGTCCCGTTATTTCAGTCGCTTATTTTTGCTTGGAAATGCCTTGCGCATACCTACTGGCCGATAAGGACAACCAGAGGGTTGTGATTCTTCCCGCCGAAAGAGCGGGGTCTACCCACTAAAACCCGCGGTGACTTCCAGAGCCTAATGAAACGGAGCCGCGAGTAATTGTCTCTGTTGCGCTCGCACACTCACTGCGGGCGCGCGTCGCACAGTCGCGACAGCAATATAATTACGCGCGAGCGATAAGGATGGGTAGCTTGGGGTCATTGGACAAAATTCTACGTGCTCGAAGACCGGGCTTAATCGCTGTTTGATTTACGTTATCTAACCACATCCCAAACCAATTTCCAATAAACACCCGCACACCCAGATGTTATAAATAGTAAAGCTGTCAACTCCTACATGTGTTTACCTCCAGCGCGGTGGGGCTCTGCGCGGGCAGCTCGTGCGCCGACAGCGGGCGCTCCGCCGCCGACACCAGGGAGTTCTTCTTGCGCCCGCCGGAGCCCGGGGTATTGACTACTATTCCTGCCGTTTAACTTTCCCCCGGAACAAACTTGACCTTCACTAGTTGGGTTTTATTGACGGTCAAGCTGTAGATCCTACACAGGAGTTGCAGCGGTGGGAACGAGAGGTGGGAATAGTCCCGTTATTTCAGTCGCTTATTTTTGCTTGAAAATGCTTTGCGCATACCTACTGGCCGAAGGGGACAGCCAGAAGGTTGTAAGACTCTCCCCGCCAGAGGGGCGGGGCCTACCCACTAAAACCCGCGGTGATTTCCAGAGCCTAATGAAACGGAGCCGCGACGGTGTAATCCGGAGCCTAAGGATGAGTTATTGGACATTCGCCCGCGGCTCATTATTCTAGTCGCCTATTGATTACCGTTCACGTTATCTAACCAAATCCCAAACCAATTTCCAAGCCCCCAAAAGTTATAAAATAGTAAAGTTGTCAAGTCCTACATGTGTGTTTACCTCCAGCGCGGTGGGGCTCTGCGCGGGCAGCTCGTGCGCCGACAGCGGGCGCTCCGCCGCCGACACCAGGGAGTTCTTCTTGCGCCCGCCGGAGCCCGGGGTCATTGACTACTGTTCCAATCGCCCATNATTGACTACTGTTCCAGTCGCCCATCTTTGTATGGAAATGCTATGAGCATACCTACTAGCCGATGGGGACAGCCAGAGGGTTGAAGACTCTCCCCGCCAGAAGGACGGGACCTACCCACTAATGCTTCAAGGCGCCATCACGGCACAATCAAAGGCCAATGACAGGTCGCGCAACCCATGACAGTTCACGCGACCTGTCATTTCCCTATGATCGTACCGTGATCGCGCCGGCGATGGCGATCGGCACATGTTGAAAGTTCAAACCCGACGGTGTCCTCTAGAGCCTAATGAAACGGAGCCGCGAGTAATTGTCTACACTAGGAAATTCGTCCGCGGCTCATTCTGGTCACCTAGATTACCATTATTAGAAACCACCGCCCACCCAGAAGAAATAATAAAAAGTTGTCAAGTCCTACATGTGTGTTTACCTCCAGCGCGGTGGGGCTCTGCGCGGGCAGCTCGTGCGCCGACAGCGGGCGCTCCGCCGCCGACACCAGGGAGTTCTTCTTGCGCCCGCCGGAGCCCGGGGTATTGACTACTGTTCCAGNCCCGGGGTCAGGTTGCCTCCGCTCGTCGCGCTTCTGAACAGGCGGGAGCGCTTGTCCTCCTAAAAGAAACAAATACATGAAAATATGTAAACGCAAACACTAATTATGTGACAGTAATTGCTTCAAGTTTTGGAACTCTCTATTGTAAAATCATCATCATCATCATTTCAGCCGTCCACAGCTGAACATAGGCCTCCCCCAATGATTTCCACAATGGCCGATTGGCGGCCTGCATCCAGCGCCTAGTAAAATAGACAAGCATCATTACAAATAATACAGGTTCAAGATTAGATCCTTGGGTAGCTCCTGCTGTTACATTATATCTTTACTATTTGATTATTTATTCTTACTAACAATTTACACTTTACGCTGCGTACACGGTATCACGTACTCAGCTCTCTCAACTCAGCCCTGGTAGTATGTACATATTTTTGTATACCGTACAATATTTTGATATTAGGCTTGCTAGAAATTGTGTTTTTTAGTCCGCATCTTCTGCAATGCAATTTGTCTTTTTGACAATTTAATATCACTTACCATGGACATTTTAGTGTCATTCGGCGGTGAGCTCGACACAGAAGCCCCGGACACTGGGGCGTCGGCTGTGACGTCACCGTCACTGTTGCCTTCACTGCCGCGCTCATCGCCCGCTGAACTCCTGATGGCTTCTGATTCTGTTGACCCATGATCAGTGTCAAACACCATGACGTCAGAAATCGAGGAAAAAATTCAGATAGGTCCTCAAGGATTTCAAAAGACATTTAGTAAAACATCTCAACATATCTCAAAAACTTTACAAAGTAGCTTTGATCAAATTGAACGTAAAAACGGGAAGTTTTTTTTATCCACAACGAGGAAGCTCTTGGCATGTATTTTATTTTAACACTAAATTGGGATCGTTTTGGAGTCACAGATTTCATTGTATTAAAAAANAGGTCGCGCGACACATGACAGTTCACGCGACCTGTCATTTCCCTATGATCGTGCCGTGATCGCGCCGGCGATGGCGATCTGCACGCGTTGGTGTGGTTGAAGCTTAAAACCCGACGGTGTCCTCTGGAGCCTAATGAAACGGAGCCGCGAGTAATTATCTTCACTTGGACATTCGCCTGCGGCTCATTATTCTAGTCGCCTGTTGATTACCGTTTATCCAAGCACATCCCAATCGATACCCGCACACCCAAAAGAAACAAATTTCCAAACACCCAGATGTTATAAAATAGTAAAGTTGTCAAGTCCTACATGTGTGTTTACCTCCAGCGCGGTGGGGCTCTGCGCGGGCAGCTCGTGCGCCGACAGCGGGCGCTCCGCCGCCGACACCAGGGAGTTCTTCTTGCGCCCGCCGGAGCCCGGGGTCAGGTTACCTCCACTCGTCGCGCTTCTGAAGAGGCGGGAGCGCTTGTCCTCCTAGAAGAAACAAATACATTAAAATATGTAAACGCAAACACAAATTATGTGACAGTAATTGCTTTTTCTGTGGGCCTAGAGGCCTTTCAAGTTTTGGAACTCTCTGTTGTAAAATCATCATCATCATCATTTCAGCCGTCCACTGCTGAACATAGTCCTCCCTCAATGATTTCCACAATGGCCGATTGGCGGCCTGCATCCAGCGCCTAGTAAAATAGACAAGCATTATTACAAATAATACAGGTTCAAGATTAGCTCCTGCTGATTTCTTGTTACATTATATCTTTACTGTTGGATTATTTATTCTACCTAACAATTTACACTTTACGCTGCGTAAACGGTTTTAGCTCAGCTGTCTCAACTCAGCCATGAAAGTAAGTTCATGTGTAAGTGTATGCAACATTATCAAAGGCTTGCTATAAATTGTGATAATGTTTTTTTTTAATTCGCGTCTTCTATCATACGTTGTGGCTGGTTTTAAAGTCTAAACAACGCACGTTTTTTTCTTTTTGAACATTTAATATCACTTACCATAGACATTTTAGTGTCATTCGGCGGTGAGCTCGACACAGAAGCCCCGGACACCGGGGCGTCGGCTGTGACGTCACCGTCACTGTTGCCTTCACTGCCGCGCTCGTCGCCCGCCGAACTCCTGATGGCTTCTGATTCTGTTGACCCATGATCAGTGTCAAACACCATGACGTCAGAAATCGAGGAAAAAATTCAGATAGGTCCTCAAGGATTTCAAAAGACATTTAGTAAAACATCTCAAAATATCTCAAAAACTTTACAAAGTAGCTTTGATCAAATTGAACGTAAAAACGGGAAGTTTTTTTTTATCCACAACGAGGAAGCTCTTGGCATGTATTTTATTTTAACACTAAATTGGGATCATTTTGGAGTCACAGATTTCATTGTATTAAAAAATAAAACCCAAAGTTCGGAAGATTAATAACCAGGTGGAAATTAAGGATGATAGTAAGTAATATTTAATTATTATACTGTCATGCATTCGTGCTTCTAATACTGCCACAATTTTTGGAATTGAGACACATGTTACATATTAAAAAGGTAACTGTTAAAATACACAAGTAACTGAAGTATCTCTACTCCAATGCAGCGTGAAGGTGAAATGGTGGATAACAAAACATAAAGACAGACAAAAGCTCAGTTCAGATCAAACTAAATATAAATTAAGAAGAGAATTAGAAACATAAATGCAATATTTCTAAACCTCTAACTTATATTTTTATTATTTACTTCACTGACAAACGAACATGGCGGGTTACAATAATTAATTCGAATAGACTTTAGAAAATTATTTAGGCTGGGCCTCCATTTGTGTTTTAACAGGCACTGAGATTAAATGTATATCATACACACACTTTAACGCCACAGCCTAGTGCAAAGTGAAGCCATTCAAATAACATAGAAAACACATTAAAAACCATAATACATTACAAAAATTGAATTGCGTTTCCATCATCAAACCTCCTTCGAGGTTTATTATTTTTTCTTTTTTTCCGTCAATTTTCCCGCCACGTCCGCCTGTCAGCGCGACACTGACAGCTGTCATGTACCTGTGAGCGGGACGGTGGCGACGTGGCGCTCCCGCACGGTGGCCAGCTCGGCGGCGGAGGCGAGGCTCGCGTGCCGCGTCACTGCGCATGCGGGTCCTTTATGGCGCGTGTGTGCGACGTGGGCGGACGAGTTAGTGAAGTGTACTTATTTATTTTTATTTGTTGTTTTTGTTTTACTCTGTTTGCACAAATTGCACTGTCTTTTCTGTAGGTAACTAATGTTACTCCATTACTGTTTTTTTTTACAAAATTGTACTGTTTAGTTTGAAGAAAAGGCCTCAGACAATTTATTATGTCTTGTTAAAGTTGTATTGGTTTCACTAATATTTTCACAAATGTAATGTGTCGCGAAGAAAAAGCCTCAGATAATTTAATGAAGTATTTTTTAAATTAACTGTTTCATTCTTGTAGAGGGGGTAGCATCATCATTATCTTCTATATTCATCATTAGCTAGCCTAGCTCGCATCAATATTTATAACTATAATTTGTATATTTTTAAAGACTGTAAACCCTTGAAAAGGAGGCTGACAATAGTGACTGAGTTTCTTGCGCTGCTTCTTCTCAGCACTGGCCAATTTATTGTCCCGAAGCAGTGGTAGGGTTAATATTGGGACGTGTAAAAGTGCTTTTTAAAAGCCTATTTGCAAAAAAAAAATTATAAAACAGTTGCAGAATTTAAGACAGAATCTTTAAAACCCACTGACGTGTCTATCTGACCATGTCTGTCACAGGCAATTTTCTCAGTAAATTCAGTATAAATATGGTAGTATACTCGTAGGCACCCGACGGACAACTAGAAACACACTACCTTATAACTTTTTAATTGACATTTTTATCGCTAATTCGTCCAGTATCCCACCTCACACATACACATGCACTAAACTATGCACACAGCGTTACGTAACAAAACACAAAAATTAAAAGTTCGTGTATGATGTATGTATGTCAGACGTTTGCTATTATTGTATAATACGCAAATAATAAGTGAAGCGGTCACACGATGCACTGTCTCTCAAGTGTATGCAGTTCGATGCTCAAGCATATTAATATTGTTATATTATGTATATTTTTTACTGTATGAATGTGACCTAATTTACATACTACACTCTTTTTATTTACATGTATAGATCTTCGATGTTATCATGACACCTCTCAAATACTTGACTTAAACCAGTCTCAATACCAGTAAAAATATTAGACCATAAGAGTGATGATTCAGGTTTACAAATTCAACAACTTTTTGCATAGGACCAACACAGAAAAATATCAAGAAAGAAGCCACTTCTCTATGCAAATTGATTAATCAGCTGTTACAATTGTGAAGTGTACCTATTTATTTTGTGGTGATTCGACATTGGTTCCATACAAAAAGTTATTGTATTTGAACACAAAAATCATCCTCTTTCCGATCAGAAGGGTTTACATACTTAAAAATTTGCAAACACATTACAACATCATGTTACCATGGAAGATCTATCTCAAATCGTGTCATCAAATATTCCACGTACTCCTGGTCTATCTTTCAAACTACTACTAAATAAAATATACCGTGACTTTAAAAGCTTTATTATCTAAAACAGAAAACAAAACACTATAATTTATAAAAACACTAGTAAAACAGTCAAAAAAATCAAAAAGTTAAACCAGGAGTCGGTTGTGGAACTCTTGGACTTGTCTTCTGGTCATCGTACTGAATTCACGCATACCGTTGGAATGCCGGTGGTGGTCCTGGTTGGCCAGGCTTCGGGAGCTGCTGAAGAAAGGCCGCAGCGAGGGTTTGGGTGTGGAGCCGATGCTGATGGTGTCCATCTGATCGGGCCCGGAGTCTTCGCCCTCGCCGCATGATAGCGACTCTAGTTCCTATAGGGCAATCGCAGATTTAGTCAGACTTTTTTACTACCATTGTAGCACTATGGTTAAGTATAGGATGTAATGAAATGCTCTTTTGTAATACGAACAGCTAGGGACTGAAATTCACTGCCTGCTGCTCTTTCCCGGGCACTATAATCAATACGTACATAATTAGTACGTAGCATCCTAGGCTGCATCTCACCAGTGGCGGCGTAGCATGGGTTGGCACCCGGGGCGATCACCCCCCTCCCCCCCGTCATAAGTCCTAAGGCACCCCCTGGTACCCCCCAGGATTTTGGGGTTACCACCGACTCAAAGACAATTGCACACCCCACCCCCCGTATCCATGACACAGACCGCAGATTTGCCATGCAGATGCGCCAGTGAGTACTAATCTGCGCGACTTGTCGACTTGGTTTGTCACCCCCTAATGCTTGGCACACGGGGCGGACCGCCCCCACCGCCCCCCCCCCCTTACGCCGCCACCGCCTTTCCCTTAACATCAGATGTCATTGAAATACCTAGCTTGTTCTGCATTAAAATAATAAAATGGTCTTTAATTTTATCTCATCTTATACTATCTACAATAGAGCGAGCTGATCTAGAAGAAAATGAAAATGCCTGTTTACTAGTGGCCTGAAGGCCTTAGGATTGTAAAAGTTCGAATACAGAGGCTGGCAAAGAATTCTACTGTTTGTTAACTATCCGAGAGCTGAGTGTGAGTTTACATCAATCGTCCTCACTACGCGCGTTAAAAAATATATGAAAATTTTAATTCTTGAAAGTTTCCGCTAGGGGCGCTGTACAATCCGTCATACATTTGTTTACGCGCTCACTGGTGAGAACGTTTGATGTAAACTCACACTAAGCCCTCAGATTGAAAGTAAATTGGTCTGGTGGTAAAAAAGTATTGCAATCCCAGTTGCCGTCGCGGGTTCGACTCCCGCCAGAGACAAGCCCACTCACCTGGAACAGCTCGTCTATGTCCCGCTGTGCATGATGCGTGTCCCGCGTAGCACCTCGCTCACCTAGCTCCTCTGGGACGCGGAAACGACGCAGCAGCGCCGCGAACTTCTGCTTTAGGTTGCGTTGCTGTAAGAACAATGTTGAAACGTTAATGGGAATATGATTTTCAAGTTGTTTTGAACCTTACTGGCCAGTAACAAGTATCGGAGCGATGTTTCTCGAATAGTGGTTCGCGGAACACAAATGGTACCTGATTTCTTTTTACTATGAAGACGACATCGTCGTATCTCCATCTTCAATAATAATTGTCTTATGAAATATTAAAAAAAGAAGAAGAAAATGAACATAATTAATTATACGAGTATCTAATAAACTATACTTAGTTTTGATAGGCTCAAAATATTTTCAGCACTTTTAGTTATCATACAAATTATGCAAAAAGGATTATTTTGGATTGGAATTCGCGTGGGTCGTAGATTTCGCGCATTTTATTGCAATCATATTGTTAAAATCAAGGTTCATAAAGGTTTTCTCATCTTAAAATAGACATCTATCATTCTTGTCATCTGTTTATACTCGTAGATAGTGTATGATTATGTCAAACATTCAAACAGGTGAAATTCATTGAATTACATAAGATTAACTGATCCAATTTATGATATGACTTATAATCATTCAAATTATAGACTGCTCGAAACTTTTTGAGACACTTCTTATTTGACTTCACTTTATTTATGCAATGCTATTAAAAACAAATCACAAACAATAATAAAACAACACATTGAGTTAGACCACACCAATTGAGAACACAGTTTAGTATCAGAGACGATCACATTTTTCACAAACACACACAAAAAGGGGGCTTAATATTCAAGATGGTACCGTCATCGGACGCTAACGTATGATATAGTGAAACATCATTTTGGGAGCTGTATACATTGGTAATCTAATCTAATAGATAAGCTACCAAATGCACATGAAATACAGCATGTATGTACAATATGCTACCTTAAGTAGGTTGTGATAGGTGCGAGATTGCGACAAAAAGTATAGTTCGATGAGTGGTGGACTGTATGGTTGACCTTGATGTGATTAATTTGTGACCAGATTAAGTCCAAATATTTGCCATTATCATGGTCAGGTGGGGCATCCAGTGCATAGAGTTCTTATGGTGTTGTTTTCTTACCGTGTGGGTTATAGGAACTCTAGGAACCATGATATCAGACAAGGCCTACCCAAACGCTATAGTGGTCCCAAAACTTCTTAGGATCTTGGACCATCAGCTATGTTTTTTAGATTTGGGTGAACCCCATAGGATTATTTGCTAACACCGCTGGACATTTATTTTTACATTACACGTCTAAATTAAATAACTCATCATCATACAAAGTACATAAAATACATTTTTTACTAGAACTAAGTACAATACATTAAGAACTACTACCATACTAGAACTACAACATAAAAAGGCAAGAAAACTACATGCAACCAAATAGGAGGAAAGCAGCATAGAGAATAGAAACAAAAACCTCGGATATTTTTTTACAAAAGTGGCCAATGGCTATTATAGTGAAATGTTATTTTTTAATAGTGAATAGATAACCATTGGCAGAAAGCCTAACTGTGTTGAACGGTAGCTAGGTATAAAATAAATATGTCTGGCAGTTTACACAATTCACAGTTTTTATAAGTAGGCCAGAAAGATGAAAGGCAGGAGATAATCTTGAATAAACCACGGATACTCTCGGCGCACTTAAGGGACTCTTATCTAGGTATAAATAAGACGTCAATATTTAGGTGACAATTTATTGCTTGTTATGTCAAAACACTCCAGGGTATATATAATAGGGGTAAAAAATCTGGACACCGCGGTACAGTTTTTCGCATCTCAAAGTGCAGTGACATCTCTCGGCAAATAATACAAACAAGTTTCATGGAAGGTTTATACATATCGCCCACCAAGGATCTTCCTAGGTCCTTAACAACAGGAAAATCGAAATAAACCCAATGAAACTTAATGCGAATGCATCGCCCACCATGAAACATGTTACGGTACACATCAACAATAAAATTAAAATAAACCATATAAAAACCATTGTACCGTAAAATAATAAAAACACTTTCAATAAACTTAAAACCTTAAAACTAAATAAACTAAAATTATTTAGCCTTAGGAAGGAGACCAAATCTTAACACCTTGAAACTAACAACTCTATCATCGTCGTTACCGGGATGGACCACAATCACCCTGCCACTGAGCCAAGACCCGTAGCTAGTTGTCCTCCTTTATGACAACTAAATCTAAATCAACTGTTAGGTTGAGGAATTTGCATAGGTAGTCCATTTCTTTCTTTCCCTTACGACGTTCATGAAGCTGTGATTCTTACAAGTCTCCAACCAAATCTCAACATGTTGTTTATAACGGGAAAAGGATTCAAGAACCGGAGAAAACTACCATGGGTAAGTATCAATTTTCGTTTTACCTTTCAACAACAGCACTAAAGTTTTCAGATTAGCATGCAACTAGACTAGACTCGCCTTCCGTATCTCTACTGTTGTTGAATACCCGTCGCGTTTCTCAAGCGTATCCTTTTTTTATTTTAACCTTCCTTTTTGTTTCAGGATCTCCGTAGGTCTGCAGTAGACCTTGTAGCGGTATACATCTTCACTTCGGTTCCAAGTAATACCACCACTTTTTATTATTTTATCAGCTTTCCTTTTCAGCCCTTCTTCGTTTCCTTTCCGTAGACTTACTTTACCATCTTCTTTCATTGTCTTTACCAAATCTTCATTGTTAGTAGTCCAATTTTGCAACACACATTCTTCTTTACCTAACATCATATTCATTTCTCTGTAAAGTTGACTCCCTTGATCGATAATTTCACAACCCATCATGAGATCGTCCACATCAAAATCTGACAGTATCTTCTCAGCCGCCGTTGGAAAACCTTCACCGTGATCCAAATTCATGTCAACATATTCATTAGTAACCTCTCTGTATTTCTGTTTCAGATCGCCGTTCTTCAGTCTTCGTTCTAATGAATACATTCTTTTTTCAGCTGTTTGCCGGGAATTCTTCTCATCGGGATCTTCATTCTTCACCGGAAGACGACGCACAATGTATCGACCAGTGTCATCTCTACGAGTAGTTTTGGTAAAGTATCCTTCACGTGTCTTTTGATCTTCTGTACATGTTCGTTCCTTTGGCAACGGAATGTCATCTTCTAGCTTACGACATTTTCTTTGAAGCTGATTATCCTTCACACTACAGTGCATCACTTTTATTGTTTCAGAGGGCTTCATCGGCGTGTTAACGACACCAGACAGAATCCACCCCAGTGACGAACACTGAGCAAGTGGTGAACCAAGCGGTCCCTTGATGACTCCGTTTTGAAGTACCCGGCTATATACTTCTGACCCTAACAACAAATCCACTCTGTTAGAAGTATAATAGCTCGGATCCGCGAGGACAATGTCCTCAAGCTCCTTCCACTCCTCCGCTGTTATCTTTTGGTTAGGCAAAAGCGAAGTGATGGAACCTAGTACATAAGCTTTCACCGTCATAATAAAGTTTGGATCAACCCGTGATGATATTTTTATTTCTACCATCGACTTTGTCGTGAGCCCGTTCGTGCCACCTACTCCTACTATTTGCCCTCTAGCTGGTATCTTCTTCAAACCCAATAATTCAACCATGGCCTCTGTAATAAAAGAGGACTGGGACCCTTGATCCAACAGAGAACGAATAGTATAAGTTTGGCCGTGTTTAGATACAGTATCTACAAGTGCCGTCGCTAGCAATACCTGGCTACAATCCACAGTGCTTCTTGTAGACGTGCAGGAAATAACAGCACCAACTTTTGTGGTATCAGCCGTAGTAACCTCCCCGTTTTGGGGTTCCTGAGCAGCAATCTTGTTTGTAGGATGCAGCAGAGCGTGGTGCTTCCTCTTGCATATGCGACACTTGTATTTGCTGTGGCAGAATTTGGCAGAGTGATTATTTCCGAGACAACAAAAGCAAACATTATGAGATGCAACAAATTCGCGACGTAATTCCACTGACGTATCCCTAAACGCCTTACACGTGCTCAATTTGTGCTCCTTCTTACAAAAGGGACAGACTAACGTGGTAACGTGCATGGCTTTAATTTGAATAACAGGCAAGTTTTTGTTAGGAATTGGTTTGGACTCTGAACTCAAAAATTCAAGGGCGCGGTAACGGTTGTTAAGAAACCTTTCGAATTGATCATAAGTAGGTAATTCGGTAGAGTTATTATCCGCGATGCTAAATTCCCATTGCCTTTTTGATTCAGGGTCCAACTTCAGCGTTATTATGTGAATTACCAGCACGTCCCAGGTACTCGTATCTACGCCAATGTTAGAGAGAGCTGACAAACAATCGTTTGTGGTATCCATCAACCCTTTCAACCCACTAGCCGACTCACAAGTTACATTTTTCTGGCTTAGCAGTCTTTTCAAAATGTGATGACAGATGTATCGTTTGTTGTTGTACCTCTCGTCTAATAAACCCCAACAATGCTCGTAATTACTATCAGTAATCGGAATGTTACATAAAAGTTGCTCGGCTTCACCTTGCAAGTACCCCTTTAAATACAATAACTTTTGAGCATTTCCTAGTGTCTTGTTCGTATGTATCAAAGACAGGAATAAGTCTCGGAAGGTGTTCCATTCCGAGTACTTTCCTGAGAAGATCGGAATATTTACTTTTGGTAGTTTTACATTAGGCGCCTGTAGAGTGGGCTGGTTAGAATCGGTGTTGGAAATACCTGTGATTATAATGAATTTAGCTAAAGCTCCTTTTAATTTACATTTATAATCAATATAAGAATCTTCTGTTTTGTCATAAGTATCGCTTCGCATATACCTCGACTCAGATAACACTTTAGGTTCCGTAGTGCGCAACAATTCCCTATGACCCAACAGAAATTCACTCCACAAACCTTCAAGTAGTTCCAACTTTCCCTCTAAATACTCCTTGGCCAAACGATCTTTCGGAACTTTTTGGAAATTCGTCTTAGCTTTTTCTATCCTTGACGCAAGGTCAAACTGACAATTCTCCAAACGTTCCATCATAAATGACAACTAAATTGAAATGTAAACAAACTTCCAAAAATAGTAAAAAATTCTAAGTGTTTGACAACTCTGACAGAAATCGGGCATAGGTTCCCCGTAGCAACAGCTTTTGCAAAATTATTCTAAGTCCTAAAATATTAATCTAAAATTTTCCTAAGTCAATGTAAACAATTAAAATTTTCTAAGTTAAACTACCAGTGTAAATAAAGTCCAAAATCCTTCAACTTTCTTCTCAGTAATAAAATGCCAAAAGAGTACTCACAGTTATATCCGTTTCACTCACACACTATCACAATAGACGGCGAACTCTTCATCAACACGAACTTCTTCGGTTTCCGAACCCGAACTCCTTTCGGGCTCCGACACGAACTGCTTAGGGCTCCAACACGAACTCCTTAGGGCTCTAGCATGAATCCCGTAGGGCTCCGATCGTGTCTCCACCAGATGGCGCCACCTCCGCGCAGCACCACCATCATCATCTCCTGATCTTCCTCAACCAGTTGGTTGCCCTGACAGCACCACAGCTGGTACTGTCAAACTGGTGTCAGCAGCTCCTAGCTGACCCAGCTTCTTGACCTGTCCTGTTTGTGACAGCGATCCACTGTCCAGGACGTCACCCCCCTCCAAAAATGCACAAAGTGTGATCCCGGCACCTGCACCGTTACCAGTGCCCAATGGACATCAACTTCCTGATGATATCCGGCTCGAAGGACCATGAATAAACCACGGATACTCTCGGCGCACTTAAGGGACTCTTATCTAGGTATAAATAAGACGTCAATATTTAGGTGACAATTTATTGCTTGTTATGTCAAAACACTCCAGGGTATATATAATAGGGGTAAAAAATCTGGACACCGCGGTACAGTTTTTCGCATCTCAAAGTGCAGTGACATCTCTCGGCAAATAATACAAACAAGTTTCATGGAAGGTTTATACAAATCTAATAGTTTGCATTCGACATTCATCACTAATATGTAGGTGAAAATCTAGATTTTGACATCTCTACAGAATCTTTGAAGAATGTTCTAAAGAAGAGCGAAAATTGTCTCTATTCTCATAGCAGTAAGTTACGAAATCGCGTGCGGCGGCTCACCGCGAGCTTGCCGCGGCTGCCCTTGCGCTTGGCGGATGCGTTTTCCAGCTCGCTGTCGCTGTCCCTGTCGTTCGCCTTGGAGTGCATATAGCTCTGTCTCTTTCGCTCGCGCTCCATGTAGCTCAAGTCGCGAGAGCGGGACAGCTGCGTGCAAGGCAACGGCTATGTTATGCTGAAGCTTAGGCTGTTCTTAATGGCCTTTGCCTTAATTTTATAAATAAAAAAGAAAAATAAATATTTTAAAATATGTAAAGCCATGTCATTACATAAAACTACGGAGCTGTCATGAAATAATACACGATAGAATGTTTAAGATTTTTTTTAATCAAAATAATAGTTCTTAATATCGTAAAACTTTATCTGCCATATCGTGTATTAGTTCTTGACTGTTATTATTTACTTTTAATAATTCATTTTCCAGTATCTTTCTAAAATGAGCTTTTATTTGAATATCTTTAAAAACAGCCTCACATAAAAAGCAATAATCAGAAATAATATGATCTCAGATATCATACATTATTCAAATAAGTAAATTAAATAAATAACCGTGCACTCCCATTGGTTTAATGGGTCAAATTATAATTTCGTTACATTTATTTGTAAATTAATAACTTAGTTATTTGGCGGTAAAGCTAAGCCTTTAATTGTTATGACAAAGGACATGCATAATAATATTATTGTACTACTAAATAATTATAATTAAAATATAGATAATTTTAATTAATGCTAATACAAACAACAATGTCTGGGCTTGATAACATTATCAATGAGTCCATAAATATTTTAAAATAGGCATAAATAATAAGTTATTTACAATTGTCATATAAAATAATATGTTAGGAGAATCAAAAAAATCGTAAGAAAATATTTAGGGCAGACTTTTAAATCGTCGGAGAACATTATGTGTCGAATAAAATTGTAATGTTGACATACAATCAAAATCAAATCAAAATCAAAAATATTTATTCAGTTTAGACCACAAGTGGCACTTATGAACGTCAATAGAAAATAATAATAAAAAAGAAAAGGTAGCCCTTATGGGGCACTTTACATGTCTCCTTATCTTTTGGGCCCTACCAGCGCTTCGAGACAAACATATGGCAAGTGCTGAGAAGAAACGCCGGAACAAACTCAGTCACCACTTATTGCCAGGAATTATCTAACGGTAAGAATAGTCAAATTTAAGTACATCAAATATGTGCAGACTGAACTGACCACGCATCCTTGTCATCAATATAGTCTCGAACCTTGTAGTACCCTTTGGACATAAGGGTATTTTTTATATGTATCTTAAATTTGTCTATTGGCAATTCAACAAGGTTGTGTGGTATTTTGTTAAATATGGTAATACATTTCCCCAAGAATGAATTACCTATCTTATTTATATTACATAGCAAATACTGTTAATATACCAAACTCATTCTGCAGATAAAAGATAACAATATGTGATTGAGAAACAGACCTTAGACAGCATCACTACAATATTTGGAGAGCATCGTCTAATGGGAATTTTTAAAACTCATGATCATCATCAGTGGAGACTAAGTTTTTTGATTCGTAGTTAAAATAACCAATAGTTAAATTCGGCAGATGTCAAATGACAAGTAGTTAAATATCAGAAAAAAATGTTTTTCGAACAATGGTTAGCTTGACTTTTAGTACACTTTTTAACTATTAATTTACATTTTGTTAATATTTAACCATTAGTAGCAAAATTTAACAATTAGTTATTTTAACTACGAATCAAAAAACTGGGCCTAAATAACCTAGTCGTCACTGCCGGAGAGCGACTCTCTGTAATTTACTAGCCAGAAGGGAGGAATAGGCCTACACTCTCCACGCTAGCCAGACGGGATCGGGCTTTCACGATATCCGCTTTCCATAGTCGCCTCTTATGACATCCAACCACGGGAAGTGGTCGGATTTTATTATGCCAGAAACACGCGGCTAAGGGCGCTTTCAATTTAGACGTTTCGTGTCGGAAATTTGTAAGACCGCTCCCTAACTATTGGTAAATTGTTAATTTTATTTCGACGCAGTTGTTATACAATTTACCATCTGCGGTCCTACAAACGTGCGACACGAAACGTCTAGATTGAAGGCGCCCTAGTAATGACCGTATAATACATATAAATAATATAGTTTACAGCAAAACCAACCTTAGTGTAAGACAGGTCCGCCTTGTTGAAGGCGAGCTGCCGGTGCGCGCGACGACGCGCCTGCGCACCGTACGTCACCTCGTCGGCCTCCTCCACCGAGCTGAACTCGCCCTCCTCCTCCTCGTCGGAGTACCCTCGCTCTGGAAGGGGAAAGGTCAAAGGTCAATTGGTAATTGACAGTTTAACAGAGGGTTGTTTTTATGGATCTAGCGCTTAAGCCTAGGCGCAAACCACTGACTTTTACTGAGTTGGCCGATAGTTGAGTAGGGCTATTAATGAGTATGGGCAATATGCCCATTGGGCATGTATGGGAGTGCGCACATTACACCGATTTGATATCGGCCTATTCTTCATACAAATTAGAATCGGGCCCTACTATCGGCCAACTTAAAAGTTGGTGGTCTGCGCCTATGAACAGTTGCTTGTTGTTTTAACTTCTTGTACTGGTGTGTATTTCTATTGTAGTCTTTGTGTGATATCGATCGATATTCAAGCGGGCCGTTAGCCGGGAGCTAACGCTAGTAAGAAGTAGAAGACCTTTAATGGGATAAAAGCGAGGATGGTGCTAGTAAACCATCTACACAGAACTTGCCATTTCATAGCGTCACACTCGTCTGATGATGAAAGAATATCAGGGGGAAGGCAATGATGGCGCTGGTACGCCACTGGGTAGATAGTGGCCAGCACGCGTTCACAAACCTCGCAATACCCAACATAGCGTCGCTCTTGTAGTGTTGACACTGTTTAATGACGAGCGAAGTGTTAAGATTAACCGGCGATGAGATATTGTCGTTTTAAGTGAGTGTCGCGGTCGAGGATAGCGTTGGTTAAAAATTGGATCTGGACTGGAGCATCACTCTCGTCTGTCCTGACGTCGGTGATTCTGTGTCAGGCCACAGGCCGCCGCGTCCCCCTGCCGCCGCCGGTCACCCGGCTGTCACTCACCGGTGATGAGCAGAGTGTTGTTGTTCTTGGTGTCGTGGTCCACAGGCGTGGAGGCGAGCCCGGTGATGCTTAGCCGGGCCACCGGCTGCCCGGCCGCCGCGCCCACCTTGCCACCGACGCCGGTCAGCTCCAGCTCCATGTCCATTGAACGCTGCAGCACCTAAAAACGTAAAAATACATCAGTCAAAGTTCGTTCCTTCGTTCGTTTCAGCCGAAAGACGTCCACTGCTGGACAAAGGCCTCCCCAAGGATTTCCACAAAGGCTGGTCCTGCGCCGCTCGCATCCAGGCACCTCCCGCAACCTTCACCAGATCTTCGGTCCAGTCAAAGTTACACAATAGGAAAAAGAATAACAACGGGTCTCAAACTATGGACTCCTATAGTGTCAAGTACTTAAGGAAGAGAAAAATAACAGTCTTCTTTAACTGGTGCTGGAAGAGCCTCTCTTCTGTTCACAGCAAGCTGGGCAGCCTAAAGCTCATTGTCTACACACACATACATATTTCAGCTTTATCGAAAACAATTCAATAACGTAAAAGGTAAAAGGCCATCATTGCCAACATGGCAGATCCGTGACTCCACCATTGCACTCCAAATAACTTCGTTTCGAATCCACACAGAACATAACATCAAATTAAGTTTTCTGATAAAGTTTCATTACCTACTCAAATGGATTTTATGTCATGATCTAAAAATAAGAGAAAGCGTTTAATCAACGTCTCCCCTTCGGCACTAATTAGACGCTTCATATAATTTACTTCAACGTTATTTTAAGGCTCGGATATTGATATTGTCATTTAACACCGTCACAGTTAGTAGTTAAGGATCTATATCAAATAAACTTGGTCGCCTACTTCTTAATTAGGTGTAGACGTATTTATGTGACGGGAGAAAGTATGGGATAGAAGTAATTTGTCAAAATGAACTGAGAAAATGTTCGACTTCGAAGTAATCGTCAAGTGAAAACATTAAAGAGAGTGTCTGTCGTTAGCTTAGTTAGTTAGGTCGTAGGCACGGTACAAACACTAGTATTAGCGTGTCGTAGGCAAGTGAAATTAGGTACTACAATGTTTTTAGATGATAGTTTTGGTAAACATATCGTAATAATAAAGTAGAGCCTTTTATGCAAGAATGTTTTGATATTTATTATTGTAGCATGTAACAATAAGAATCAACTGACAAATAAAATAATAATAGATTCTTCAAGTCCTAACGACGCTACATCCTACAGTAAAAATCAGCAGGCATGCTTCATTATTTTAGATTATATCAGTCAACTACAGAACGTAAGCTCCCTTAGGAGCGTTACTAAATAAGTACTACTCTCGCTTTTTTAATTCAGAAGGCTTAATTTGGCTTAGTTTTTCAATACTAATCTAAATGACAGTATGCCACTAAATGTCATTTGCATCCTTAATGAGAGGAAATACAAATTTAACCTCCAAGAGGACGTCATAATTGGCTGATTCACTAATTACCTTAACTAACATATACGAGGGCGTTTAAGTTTATTTAATTTACAAGGACGAGGTTAATTGCTATCACAATTTATACTTTTGGGGACAGACCATGGATACTTGTACTCGTGGGCTATTTATAATGTAGCCTCTTGTATGACTGACGTAAAGCGTAGGAATTTAATGAAACAGTACATTGACAAGATTAATTTTCTTGCCTACCGCCCTGTTCGAAAACAGACAAAACTCCATAGAATCGTCTTGCTATAATTACAGCACATAAACTAATAATTACTAGTATACGATCTACGATATTATACTGTCGCTATAATTTAAACAACAATGTTAACAGCACTATTGTGTTCCGGAAGCTGGAAGCGGCGATAACCTTACTGTGTTGAGGATTCCGGGTGAAGCTCTCTTCCACCTTAGGCCAGATCATCACTTTCCATCAGGTGAGATGCAGGCCAAGAGCTTCCTCATTGTGGTTACGTTACATTAGCAGTTAACATAATTAGTTAAAGTGCTTAATGTTGATTCAATTGATACACCTAACCGTACACACCCTGTCTGCCATTACTTCGAAATTGAAAACGATTCATTGCAAGTTCGCCCTAGCAGCTTTACAATATCGAAGGCTTTCAAGGCGTGACTCTGCATTATATGAACGTAAATTAATTTTTTGCTCATAAGGAGAGATCCTATCATGTATTCTGAGATTATAATAAGCTTTTTCCATAGGTGAGCTCCTGGATGTTATATGGATGAAAATGTACCTAATAAGATTTATTAGATAACTTCTCAAATGTAGAATAGACACATAGCTACAAATACAAATCGCTGTGACGACTGTTTTATAAGCCAATGAAGGATTTAAAATTTAAACTGCATGTCATTAGTGTCATATATTTTATCTCGTTAATATATTTGAAACCCTAATTACCGCATCGGTGATGACGTGTAAAAAAGTGTTACTATTTACTTCAAAAGTTAAAATTAAATTGTCGAAAACCTCTCTGTTTGTTGACCCCTCCAAATTTTAGGGGTGGATTCAAATACTCGAATCAACAGTTCGATGTCCATCGGGCTATTGATAATCACATCAGTGCAATGTCTTGTAAAAGTATTTTTATTACCTGGTCCATCCTTATGACACCTTCAGCCAGAGTCTTGTATCCTAGGATCGTGCGGTTTTTGTACTTCTTACGTCTCTGGAGCATGATCTGCAACCTGGAATAGAAAATAAAAACGTTAATAAACAAGTACATCACTCCGTCTACGCCTCTCCAACCCGTCTGACCAAGGGAGGGTAGGCCAAGTCTTCTATTTTGCCTCTGGTAAATTAGAATATCGTGATCCTGCTGGAAGAGACTAAATGATTTGATGATGAAGTGCCTGCATCATTAGGTATTATGTACAATGTTTTCATAAGAAGTGCTTTAATTGCCCCATCATATCCGCGCTTTGTCGAGGCATAGTGTAAGGTTTCTTTAAATAATTCGCCATGGGGAAGCATGAAGTAATTTGCTGACACGATAATTTGAGCTGAGCTTGATCGCATGTTTAAGTCTACTTAGGCTAGCCCACACAAATTACTTAGAGTAGGGCGCACACCGTTGATTTTTAGTTGGCCGATAGTTGTACCCGATTTTAATTTGTATGAAGAATCGGCCAAATCGAATCGGCGTAGTGTGCGCACTCCCATACATCCCATACTGATCAACTGCCCGACTAAACTATCGGCCGACGAAAAATCAACGGTGTGCGCCTACTTTTAGACTAAAAACTCCGTTTTTGATTACTTTTGCTTCACACAGTAGGCTCAACAAACAATTGTTTTAGACAATAACTTTCAATTTTCGCCGGATATTTGTATTTATTATGTCTAATAACGATCGTAACGTTAATAAAGTCTGATCAGAAACAACACGCAAGATAATTAAGTTAAAGCAAGCAGAGTACATAGGGTTGCCAATTGTTTACGAGCTTGGTATGAGGCTTTTCATTAAGTTATTTATGGGTAGAATACATAATTAGAATATATTACTGAAATTAAGTGAAGATAAACAACAAAGGTTTTAATATAGAAATAGGCACAAAACCTTTACGCAGGTTGAACCCTGTTTTAAAATAATATCTACTAAGTATTTCTATACACAAAACGTAGCTTGTTTTTAATCCCTGTGTAAGTAGGTATGTATTTTAATAAGGAGATATTTTTTAAGTAGAACGGTCACAAACAAAAGAAAATTAGAAAATGGCTGGCGCTTTTTCAGACAATCTTCAAAGCTTTCATGTACAAAGTCCGCAAAAGTTTTGAGCCCCACTAGCGACGGATCCTGAGCCAGCGAACAAACAATTAATGCCGAGCGATTTAACAAACGCTTACAAATAACTTTGGACAGAGATAAAGGCTATCATCCGGACAGCCCGGACCGTTTAATTTGTCCGGCCAAGCGTCCGTAAATCCTAACCGCAACACTGAAACTGAAAGCCTAAATTTCAAGTTTAATGGACAGGTTTTCACAAAGCCAAGATAATATTGTTGTCAGTCAGTATTTGTGTTGTGGAAAATATTTTGTGATATTTAATTTATTCGTTATTGAAGTCATACACTGGCTGAACCTTCAATGTAGTATTAAAATATGTAATTCTAATATTGCAGAAAATGTGGTGTAAGCAGCAAAATCAAATCAAATCAAATATTTTTTTTTTGCGAACTTGGGTTTACTTACACACAGTAAGGTGTTAGAAGTTTTTTAGTATCTCCATCTCAACCTCCTCTTACCTCCCACTGGGTGGACCGACGATCTGTTTAGGATCGCGGGAAGCACCTAAGTAGATGCGAGAAGCGCAGGACAGGTTGCTGTGAAATCCTAGGGGAGGGCTTTGTCCAGCAGTGGACGTCATTTGGCGTCAAATGAAACTTGCTGAACAATTTTTAAATCGATACTAGTCGATACTCGACTTCTCCGTAAGGTATAGTAGGTATGTGCAGATTATCAAGCGAATAGTGACTATACCTGACGCTAAAGTGTCATATGCCCTTATTTTTTATACACGTCGTTATTTGGGACACTGTACTTGGCAGGTGGCAGCCCTGAACGTACCGGGTGGTTTACAACCGTGAGATCACCTCGACAATTTGGGGCATTACCATAATGGCGCAATANTTCCTCCATGGGGCCGCACACATCAGCGTGTATGAGTTCACAAGGCTTGGTTGTCTTCGTTTCGCTCGCACCGAAAGGCAGACGATGTATTTTGCCTTCCAGACAGCTCTCACACGTCATATTCGAGTCGTCATTTACAGAGATGTTATTATTTTTCAGCACTGTTTTGCAATGATTGACGTTTTGATGTGCGAGTTTTTCGTGCCACTCCTTCAGACATGTTACATTTACTTGTTCTTCAAATTTGTAGCGCACATTCATGTAATATAAGCCGCCGTTACGATTTGCCACCGCGCACACTTTATTCCCTTTGTAAANCCCTACTGACGATGTATATTTTGGAGTAAGTTAATTGACCTAAGTCACTACAAAGTATACGCGAGCAGTACGCAGCGTATGCGTACTGGTCGTGTATAGTTTGGAAGAGCTTCGTAAAAAAAGTCACATCCAAACTATACTCGATTAGTTTCACACCCTTGCGTTCTGGCTATGTATAGAATGGAAAGACGCGTCAGTGATGTATGTCGTTACTTTTCACATGAATATCGATATCGATTAAATATTAATTAACACCTAACAGTAATCTATATTATAATATTAATAGAACTAAAATAGGATGGAATGGGATTGTATATGGGAATTGAGAGTGGCCTAAGAAAAAAAAAACTCAGAAGATTAAAATTATTCAACTTATTTATTTGAAAGAGTGAAAGAGTTACAAACATCAAGACATCCATACAAACTTTCGCATTTATAATATTAGCAGGAGTAAAACAATAATTAAAAAATGATAATTCTGACGATAACGTAATTTTTTACGTTATCGTCAGAATTATCATTTTTTAATTACGCATAGGATTCTAACGATGTAATAATCTTTGTTGGCCGTATAGTCTAGTGGTTCAAAACGGACTACTATCAGGCCTCCGTCNAATATTTTCAAATTTTTTTATGTTTCGTGAAGAAAAAGCCTCAGATGATTTAATGAAGTATTTAGTAGTAGTAGTAGTAAGTAGTAGTTTCATTCTTGTAGAAGGGGTAGCGTCATCATTATCTTCTATATTCATCATTATAAAACAGTTGCAGAATTTTAGGCAGAATCTTTAAAACCCACTGACGTGTCTGACCGAGTCTGTCACAATTTTTTTTTTTTCATTACAGTGGACTACAACAAAAAAAAATGTAAATAAAGTTGTAGTCACAATTTTCTCAGTAAATTCGGTATAAATATGGTAGTATACACATACGCACCCGACGGACAACTACTTTGTATTGTAACTTGTAATGGTAATTTTCAACGCTAATTCGTCCAGTATCCCACCTCACACATACACATGCACTAAACTATGCACACAGCGTTACGTAACAAAACACAAAAATTAAAAGTTCGTGTATGATGTATGTATGTCAGACGTTTGCTATTATTGTTTAAATACGCAAATAATAAGTGAAGCGGTCACACGATGCACTGTCTCTCAAGTGTATGCAGTTCGATGCTCAAGCATATTAATATTGTTATATTATGTATTTTTGTACTGTATGAATGTGACCTAATTTACATACTACACTCTTTTTATTTACATGTAAATAGATCTTCGATGTTATCATGACACCTCTCAAATACTTGACTTGAACCAGTCTCAATACCAGTAAAAATATTAGACCATAAGAGTGATGATTCAGGTTTACGAATTCTACAACTTTTTGCATAGGAACAACACAGAAAAATATCAAGAAAGAAGCCACTTCTCTAAACAAATTGATTGATCAGCTGTTACAATTATAAGGCGAAGTGAATTTATTGTGTGGTAATTCGACATTGCTTCCATACAAAAAGTTATTGTATTTGAACACAAAAATCATCGTCTTTCGGATCAGAAGGGTTAACATACTTAAAAATTTAACAAACACATTACACTATCATGTTACCATGGAAGATCTATCTCAAATCGTGTCATCATATTCCACCTACTCCTGGTCTATCTTTCAAGCTACTACTAAATAAAATATACCGTGACTTTAAAAGCTTTATTATCTAAAACAGAAAACAAAACACTATAATTTATAAAAACACTAGTAAAACAGTAAAAAAAAAATCAAAAAGTTAAACCAGGAGTCGGTTGTGGAACTCTTGGACTTGTCTTCTGGTCATCGTACTGAATTCACGCATACCGTTGGAATGCCGGTGGTGGTCCTGGTTGGCCAGGCTTCTGGAGCTGCTGAAGAAAGGCCGCAGCGAGGGTTTGGGTGTGGAGCCGATGCTGATGGTGTCCATCTGATCGGGCCCGGAGTCTTCGCCCTCGCCGCATGATAGCGACTCTAGCTCCTGTAGGGCAATGAGAGAGCACTATGATTAGGGTGCAGTGTGTAATGAAATGCTCTTAGGTAATGCGAACAGCTCGGGGCTGAAATTCGCTGTCCGCTGCTGTTTTTCTGTTATAATCCTGGCTTTTTCAAGACGAGAGTGAATAGGCACTTATAGGGTATGTATGTATCATCCGCATTGCAGTCAAATACCTGCCTTGTTCTGAATTAAAAGAATGAAATGGTCTTTTAATTTCATCTCACGATCTACGATAGAGCAAACTGGCCTAGAAGATGCCTGTTTACTAGTAGCCTGAAGGCCATAGGGTTGTAAGAGTTCGGGGTAGAGTCTAGCAAAGAATTCCAGTTTTTGTACAATATCAGATTCAAAGCAAATTGGCCTTGTGGTAAAATAATATTGCAACCCCAGGAGCGGTCGCGGGTTCGACTCCCGCCAGAACCAAGCCCACTCACCTGGAACAGCTCGTCTATGTCCCGCTGTGCATGATGCGTGTCCCGCGCCGCCCCTCGCTCACCCAGCTCTTCTGGGACGCGGAAACGACGCAACAGCGCCGCGAACTTCTGCTTTAGGTTGCGTTGCTGTAAGAACAATGTTGAAACGTTAATGGGAATATGATTTTCAAGTTGTTTTGAACCTTACTGACCAGTAATAAGTATCAGAACGATGTTTCTCGAATAGTGGTTCGCGGAACACAAATGGTACCTACTGATGATGTTTATCCGATTTCTTTTTACTATGAAGACGACATCGCGAATCGTCGTATCTCCATCTTCAATAATGATTAATTGTCTTATGAAATATTAAAAAAAGAAGAAGAAAATGAACATAATTAATTATACGAGTATCTAATAAACTACACTTAGTTTTGATAGGCTCAAAATATTTTCAGCACTTTTAGTTATCATACAAATTATGCAAAAAGGATTATTTTGGATTGGAATTCGCGTGGGTCGTAGATTTCGCGCATTTTATTGCAATCATATTGTTAAAATCAAGGTTCATAAAGGTTTTCTCATCTTAAAATAGGCATCTATCATTCTTGTCATCTGTTTATACTCGTAGATAGTGTATGATTATGTCGAACACTCAAACAGGTGAAATTCATTGAATTACATAAGATTAACTGATCCAATTTATGATATGACTTATAATCATTCAAATTATAGACTGCTCGAAACTTTTTGAGACACTTCTTATTTGACTTCACTTTATTTATGCAATGCTATTAAAAACAAATCACAAACAATAATAAAACAACACATTGAGTTAGACCACACCAATCGAGAACACAGTTTAGTTTCAGAGACGATCACATTTTTCACAAACACACAAAAAGGGGGCTTAAAATTCAAGACGGTACCGTCATCGGACGCTAACGTATGATATAGTGAAACATCATTTTGGGAGTTGTATACATTGGTAATCTAATCTAGTAGATAAGCTACCAAATGCACATGAAATACAGCATGTATGTACAATATGCTACCTTAAATAGGTTGTGATAGGTGCGAGATTGCGACAAAAAGTATAGTTCGATGAGCAGTCAACTGTATGGTTGACCTTGATGTGATTAATTTGTGGCCAGATTAAGTCCAAATATTTGCCATTATCATGGTCAGGTGGGGCATCCAGTGCATAGAGTTCTTATGGTGTTATTTTCTTACCATGTGGGTTGTAGGAACTCTAGAAATCATGATTTCAGACAAGGCCTACCCTATAGAGGTCCCAAAACTTCTTGGGATCTTGGACCATCAGCTATGTTTTTTAGATTTGGGTGAACCCCTAGGATTATTTGCTAACACCGCTGGGCATTTATTTTTATATTATATGTCTAAGTTAAATAACTCATCATCATACAAAGTACATAAAATCTGGGGGCACGGCAGTGCCCCCGCCAAGTCGAGCGTGAAGCAAACACTGCCGTACCATCCTTTACTGGAACCATTTCGCCGCATTTTCAGGCCCCTATTTGAGAATCTCTGGATAAGACCACAACGCAGAAATTTTCGTCATCTAGTAAGCTATAATCACATACTTAAAATCCAAAATTTCAAGTCTGTAGGTCATTTAGTTCCGAAGTTAAGCGAAAGCAAAGTTTCGCATTTACGACACTCACTCACTCACTGATGATCATCAAAATAGAACTAGTACTTCCCATAAACTCAGAGAGCTGAAATTTGGTACAGAGTTAGGGTTTAATGGCCACATAAAGGGAAAACTATAAAAACTAGGAAAATCGAAGATCTGGAGTAACACCACATTCATAGTCAATACTACTCCGCTCACCGCTAGATGGCGCTAGCACTAGCAAGCGGTGTGGTGTCCAGATTTCTTTCATTTCTAGAGCCCCCCGTCGATTAAGTTGAATGTTGTGTAATTTGCATTTCGTTGATTTCGTTTATTATAATNTAGTATAATGTATCCCACCAAAACATTCTGTAAAAAACTAGCCAAGTCTCGATGGAGCTGCTTGTTTATCTCTAAAAAGTAATGAAATCTAGACAAAGTCGTGCCAAGTCTATGGTTCCTTACTGCGATTTCTTTATTATTATAGTTAATGTTGTGTGACTTGGCCGTTGAACAATCTTTATTAAGATAATCATACATAAGTATTATTGAAATACGCAGCTTTATTAAACCTACAATTGACTGGTTATTGTTGAATCAACGTTTTCCAAGTGGCAATTTTCCATCGTCAATGGGTAGCGGTTCTGGCGACAGATTGGTGCAATGGTGTCATGGAGCACCTGGTTTTGTCACCCTTCAACGGCCAAGTCACACAACATTAACTATAATAATAAAGAAATCGCAGTAAGGAACCATAGACTTGGCACGACTTTGTCTAGATTTCATTACTTTTTAGAGATAAACAAGCAGCTCCATCGAGACTTGGCTAGTTTTTTACAGAATGTTTTGGTGGGATACATTATACTAGAACTAATTACATATACAGTAAGAACTACTACCATACGAGAACTACAACATAAAAAGGCAAGAAAACTACATGCAACCAAATAGAGAAAAGCAGCATAGAGAATAGAAACAAAAACTTCTTGAAAAACCTCGGATATTTTTTTTTACAAAAGAGGCCAATGGCTATTATAGTGAAATGTTAATTTTTTAATAGTGAATAGATAACTGTTGGCAGAAAGCCTAACTGTGTTGAACGGTAGGTATAAAATAAATATGTCTGGCAGTTTACACAATTCACAGTTTTTATAAGTAGGCCAGAAAGATGAAAGGCAGGAGATGATCTAATAGTTTGCACATTCATCACTAATAGGTGAAAAATCTAGATTTTGACATCTCTACAGAATCTGTGAAGAACGTTCTAAAGAAGAGCGAAAATTGTCTCTATTCTCATAGCAGTAAGTTACGAAATCGCGTGCGGCGGCTCACCGCGAGCTTGCCGCGGCTGCCCTTGCGCTTGGCGGATGCGTTTTCCAGCTCGCTGTCGCTGTCCCTGTCGTTCGCCTTGGAGTGCATATAGCTCTGTCTCTTTCGCTCGCGCTCCATGTAGCTCAAGTCGCGAGAGCGGGACAGCTGCGTGCAAGGCAACGGCTATGTTATGCTGAAGCTTAGGCTGTTCTTAATGGCCTTTGCCTTAATTTTATAAATAAAAAAGAAAAATATTTTAAAATATGTACGAGTAAAGCGATGTCATACATAAAACTATGGGGCTGTCATGAAATAATACACAATAGAATACATATGTTTTAAGATTCTTTTTTATCTTTTAATAGTATATTATTATCATAAAAGTAGGTATATCTGCCACATCGTGTATTAGTTCTTGACTGTAATTATTTACTTTTAATAATTCATTTTCCAGTATCTTTCTAAAATGAACTTTTATTTTAATATCTTTAAAAACAGCCTCACATAAAAAGCAATAATAAGAAATAATTATGATCCCAGATATCATACATTATTCAAATAAGTAAATTAAATAAATAACCATGCACTCCCATTGGTTTAATGGGTCAAATTATAATTTCGTTACATTTATTTGTAAATTAATAACTTAGTTATTTGGCGGTAAAGCTAAGCCTTTAATTGTTATGACAAAGGACATGCATAATAATAATATTATTGTAATACTAAATATTTATAATTAAAATATAGATAATTTTAATTAATGCTAATACAAACAACAATGGCTGGGCTTGATAACATTATCAATGAGTCCATAAATATGTTAAAATAGGCACAACAATATAATTTAATTACAACTGTCATAATTAAAATAAGTTAGAAAAAAAAACTTTTAATTAAAAACAAGCTTTAAAGTTTTCAATCGTCGGATAACTTTTATTTAGAGCATGAAATTGACAGATTTTTTTATACAGCAACTGTCCATAAGTCAGACCCACTCTGAAGATAAAAGTTATCTAGTGATTGAAAATAATCAAATCAAAATCATTATACTAGTCTCTGATCTGATACAGAACTTTGGAGAACATCGTATCGTCTAATGTGACGTTTATGACCCTGTCGAGATTTTAAAACCCATCATGATCATTTAGGTCATTTATGCCCGTTTTCACCATAAATCTCTAATTTTTAAGTCACACCTCTTATCAGGTTTTTATTTTTATAGGGGTGACTTAAAAATTAAGGATTGATGGTGAAAACGGGCATTAGTCTCCACTGTACAGGACGAAACGTGACGAAACTGAGCTAAAGCCAGCCGGGTTAGGAAGGCCTGATGTTCGCTCCTAGTCGCCTCTTACAACCTCGGGATAATTGCCGGATTGTTAAACTTAGATATCGATCAGTACCATCAGCAAAACTAACCTTGGTGTAAGACAGGTCAGCCTTGTTGAAGGCGAGCAATAAAGGTAAATCCTAATATAAAGCCCGGTCTGTGAGCACGTAGAATTTTGTCCAATGACCCCAAGCTACCCATCCTTATCGCTCATTAGCTTGGGGTCTTTGAACAAAATTCTACGTGCTCGCAGACCAGACTATAGTTTAGTAGCATGTACCATCAGCAAAACCAACCTTAGTGTAAGACAGGTCCGCCTTGTTGAAGGCGAGTTGCCGGTGCGCGCGACGACGCGCCTGCGCACCGTACGTCACCTCGTCGGCCTCCTCCACCGAGCTGAACTCGCCCTCCTCCTCCTCGTCGGAGTACCCTCGCTCTGAAGGGGAAAGATTCATTGGTAACTTACAGTTTAACAGTCCTCCTATATTCTTCTGATTAATTTCGTTTCGGGTCTAATGACAGTTAACTTAACCTTTATTGTTTGGGTTTTCATGGTGGTCAAGCTGTAGATCCTGGCTACATAGGAGTTGCAGCAGTGGGAACGAGAGGTGGGAATAGTCCCGCAAGTTTAACAGTTGGTTGTTGTTAAGTTCTTGTACTCGTGTGTATTTCTATTGTAGTCTTTGTGTGATATCGATCGATATTCAAACGGGCCGTTAGCCGGGAGCTAACGCTAGTAAGAAGTAGAAGACTTTTTGGGATAAAACCGAGGATAGTGCTGGTAAACCATCGGACCCTAACGTCAGTCAACTTGCCACATCTTTCATAGCATCACACTCTTCTGATCATGAAAGAATATCAGGGGGAAGGCAATGATGGCGCTGATACACCACTGGGTAGATAGTGGCCAGCACACGTTCACAAACCTCGCAACACCCAAGATAGCGTTCCGCTCTTGTAGTGTTGACACTGTTTAATGACGAGCGAAGTGTTAAGATTAACCGGCGATGAGATATTGTCGTTTTAAGTGAGTGTCGCGGTTGAGGATAGCGTTGGTAAATAACAGAACTGGATCTGGACTGGAGCATCACTCTCGTCTGTCCTGACGTCGACATCGGTGATGCTGTGTCAGGTCAGGTCACCGATCGCCGCAGTCACTCCAGCTGTCACTCACCGGTGATGAGCAGAGTGTTGTTGTTCTTGGTGTCGTGGTCCACAGGCGTGGAGGCGAGCCCGGTGATGCTGAGCCGGGCCACCGGCTGCCCGGCCGCCGCGCCCACCTTGCCGCCGACGCCGGTCAGCTCCAGCTCCATGTCCATTGAACGCTGCAGCACCTAAAAACGTAAAAATACATCAGTCAAAGTTCGTTCCTTCGTTCGTTTCAGCCGAAAGACGTCCACTGCTGGACAAAGGCCTCCCCAAGATTTCCACAAAGGCTGGTCCTGCGCCGCTCGCATCCAGGCACCTCCCGCAACCTTCACCAGATCTTCGGTCCAGTCAGTTACACAATAGGAAAAATAATAACAACAGGTCTCAAGTACTTAAGGAAGAGAAAAATAACAGTCTTCTTTAACTGGTGCTGGAAGAGCCTCTCTTCTGTTCACAGCAAGCTGCGCAGCCTAAAGCTCATTGTCTACACACACATACATATTTCAGCTTTGTCGAAAACAATTCAATAACGTAAAAGGTTAAGTAAAAGGCCATCATTGCCAACATGGCAGATCAGTGACTCCATTGCACTCCAAATAACTTCGCTTCGAATCCACACAGAACATAACATCAAATTAAGTTTTCTGATAAAGTTTTCTATATTACCTACTCAAATGGATTTTATATCATGATCTAAAAATAAGAGAAAGCGTTTAATCAACGTCTCCCCTTCGGCACTAATTAGACGCTTCATATAATTTACTTCAACGTTATTTTAAGGCTCGGATATTGATATTGTCATTTAACACCGTCACAGTTAGTAGTTAAGGATCTATATCAAATAAACTTGCTCGCCTACGTCTTAATTAGGTGTAGACGTATTTATGTGACAGGAGAAAGTATGGGATAGAAGTAATTTGTCAAAATGAACTGAGAAAATGTTCGACTCTATCAATCATGTCGTGAAAACATTAAAGAGGTGTCTGTCGTTTGGTAGGAATCGAGTAAAATTAGGTAGGATATAAGATAATATTTTTAATTGATAGTTTTCATATCGTAACTTCTAGAAATAACAAAGAAGAGCCTTTTATGCAAGAATCTTTTGATATTTATTGTAGCATGTAACAATAAGAATCAACTGACAGCAAATAAAATAATAATAGAATCTCTCAAGTCTTAACGACGCTACATCGTACAGTAAAAATCAGCAGGCATGCTTCATTATTTTAGCTTAAATCAGTCAACTACAGAACGAAAGCTCCCTTAGTAGGAGCGTTACTAAATACTACGTTTACGTTTTTAATTCAGAAGGCTTAATTTGGCTTAGTTTTTCAATACTAATCTAAATGACAGTATGCCACTAAATGTTATTTGCATCCTTAATGAGAGGAAACACAAATTTAACCTCCAAGAGGACGTCATAATTGGCTGATTCACTAATTACCTTAACATGTACGAGGGCGTTTACGTTTATTTAATTTACAAGGACGAGGTTAATTGCTATCACAATTGATACATATTTGGGGACAGACTATGGGTACTTGTACTCGTGTGCTATTGATAGTAAATGTAGCCTCATAAAATATATAGTTCGTTTCATCCACGAAGATGCGCACAACCAATTTTTGGTCGAGGGAAGCACGGGGTGCGGGGAGTTTGATCCGAGCAATCCGAGCGTCATTATTGTAATGTGCGTGTGCACTCATGGATAATTTAGCGAGTACCAATAATACTCAAAATTAGCGGAAGAATGGTGGGGCGCGTCTTCGTGGATGAAACGATCTATATCGCTGACGCAAACCTAGAAGTTTAATGACAAGACAAACATAATAACAGTACATTGACAAGATTAATTTTCTTGCCTACCGCCCTGTTCGGAAACAGACAATACTCCATAGAATCGTATTGCTATAATTACAGCATTTACAGCACATAAACTAATAATTATACAATCTACGATATTATACTGTTATTATACTGTCGCTATAATTAAACGATAATGTTAACAGCATTGTTGTGTTCCGCCAGCTGAAAGCGATAGCCATTTACTGTGACACTGTGCTGAGGATTACGGGTGAAGCTCTCCTCCACCTTCGGCCTGATCATCACTTTCCATCAGGTGAGATGCAGGCCAAGAGCTTCCTCATTGTGGTTACATTACATTAGCAGTTAACATAATTAATTAAAGTGCTTAATGTTGATTCAATTGATACACCTAACCGTACACAGGGCGTGGTGCCATTACTACGAAATTGAAAACGATTCATTGCAGTTTCACCCTGCCAGCTTACAATATCGAAGGCTTTCAAGGCGTGACTCTGCATTATATGAACGTAAATTAATTTTTGGCTCAAAAGGAGAGATCCTTTCGTGTATTATAATAAGCTTTTTTATAGGTGAGCTTCTGGATGTTATATGGATGAAAGTGTAATGAGATTTATTAGTTAACTTCCCAAATGTACAGTAGACAAATAGCTACAAATAGAAATATCTGTGACGACCGTTTTATAAACCAACGATGGATTTAAAATTTAAACAGCATGTCATTAGTGTCAGATATCTCGTTAAAATGTTTGAAACCCTAATCACCGCATTGGTGATGACTTGTAAAAGTGTTACTATTTACTTCAAAGGTTAAAGTTATATTGTCGTAAACCCCTCTATCTGTTGACCCCTCCAAATTTAAGGGGTAGATTCAAATACTCGAATCAACAGTTCGATGTCCATGGGCTATTGATAACCACATCAGTGCAATGTCTTGTAAAAGTATTTTTATTACCTGGTCCATCCTTATGACACCTTCAGCCAGAGTCTTGTATCCCAGGATCGTGCGGTTTTTGTACTTCTTACGTCTCTGGAGCATGATCTGCAGCCTGAAATAGAAAATAAAAACGTTAATAAACAAGTACATCACTCCGTCTACGCCTCTCCAACCCGTCTGACCAAGGGAGGGTAGGCCAAGTCCTCCATTTGCCTCTAGTAAATTAGAATATCTTGATCCTGCAGTCATCCTTGAGCCTGCGGGCAGCATGGAAAGCATTGGGGGAGGCCTATGTTCAGCAGTGGATGTCCTATGGCTGAGATGATGATGATGATAATGATGATGATGATCCTGCAGTGAAAGAGACTAAATGATTCGATGATGAAGTGCCTGCATCATTAGGTTATTATGTACAATGTCTTCATAAGAAGTGCTTTATTTGCCCCATCATATCCGCGCTTTGTCGAGGCATAGTGTAAGGTTTCCTTAAATAATTCGCCATGGGGAAGCATGAAGTAATTTGCTGACACGATAATTTGAGCTGAGCTTGATCGCATGTTAAAGTCTACTTAGGCTAGCCCACATAAATTATTTAGAGTAGGCGCACACCGTTGATTTTTAGTTGGCCGATAGTTGTGCCCGATTTTAATTTGTATGAAGAATCGGCCAAATCGAATCGGCGTAGTGTTCGCACTCCCATACAGGTCCATACTGATCAACTGCCCGACTAAACTATCGGCCGACGAAAAATCAACGGTGTGCGCCTACTCTTAGACTAAAAACTTTGTTTTGGATTACTGAAATTAAGTGAAGATACCTAAACAACAAAGGCCTCAACATTTTAATATAGAAATAGGCACAAAGCTTTACAAATACCTACCTAATACGCAGGTTGAACCCTGTTTTAAAATAATATCTACTAAGTTTTTCTATACAAAACGTAGCTTGTGTTCAATCCCTGTGTAGGTATCAATTTTAGTAAGGAGATATTTTTTATGTAGAACGGTCACAAACAAAAGAAAATTACAAAACGGATGGCGCTTTTTCAGACAATCTTCAAAGCTTTCATGTACAAAGTCCGCAAAAGTTTTGAGCCCCACTAGTGACGGATCCTGAGCCAGCGAACAAACAATTAATGCCGAGCGATTCAACAAACGCTTACAAATAACTTTGGACAGAGATAAAGGCTATCATCCGGACAGCCCGGACCGTTTAATTTGTCCGGCCAAGCGTCCGTAAATCCTAACCGCAACACTAAAACGGAAAGCCTAAATTTCAAGTTTAACGGACAGGTTTTCACAAAGCCAAGATAATATTGTTGTCAGTCTGTATTTGTGGAGAATATTATTATCTTGTGATATTTAATAATTTAACTTGGGTTTACTTACACACAGTAAGGTGTTAGAAGTTTTTTAGTATCTCCATCTCAACCTCCTCTTACCTCCCACTGGGTGGACCGACGATCTGTCTAAGCACCTAAGTAGACGCGTAAAGGGCAGGACCGGTTGCTGTGAAATCCTTGGGGAGGCCTTTGTTCAGCAGCAAACGTCATTTGGCTGAAGCGAATTAATTTTGCTGAACAATTTTTAAATCGATACTAGTCGATACTCGACTTCTCTGTAAGGTATAGTAGGTATGTGCAGATTATCAAGCGAATAGTGACTATACCTGACGCTAAAGTGTCATATGCCCTTATTTTTTATATACGACGATATTTGGGACACTTGGTACATGGCAGATGACAGCCCTGAACGTACCGGGTGGTTTACAACCGTGAGATCGCCTCGACAATTTGGGGCATTACCATAATAGCGCAATAATCTGCCTGCTTTCGTTCATATTAGCGACTTATTATCATAAACATGACTTGTTCCCAGAATTACGTTATATGACGCGAAGATCTGAAATAATTCATAAATTATATTCGCTATTCAATATAAACCTCATTGTTGTCGTCATTTTGAGAATTGGACGTTTCGGGAACTGGACATTTCAGGAATTGGACATTTCGGGAATTGGACATTTCGGGAAATGGACATTTCGGGAAATGGACATTTTGGGAATTGGACATTCTGGGAATTGGACATTTTGAAACCGTTGGACATTTTGGGAATTGGACATTCTGAACCTGAAGGTCCGAGCCTTCAATAATGTTAAAGGATGCGGAGTACTGAAATAATTCAAAAATTATATTCCCCTTTCTATAAACTTGAAGTTGCTACATGCATAAGTATTTCTTTGTTCTACGGTATTTTATTTTTAACACATGCCCCTACCCAGATATTCGTAGGATCCTGCAACTTCAGCTGGCAATACTGTGCGGTATGTGAAACATCATCTTTTCAAGGACTAGGTAGAAAGGCTAGATGATTGTCCTAAAACCACATTGAATTGCTCATCATTATTGTCCGTATATCATGTTAATAATTTTACCGATAGCTCTATATAATTTAATTCTAGCCACTATAAATCCCTTTGAAACACTGCCACATTAAACCTAAATGAAGTCTATAAATAAGTCTGCAATAGAAACGCAGACATGGCCTAAGCCATCCCTCAGGCTAAACGACTTGGAACAAAATGAGACCATAAAACTGGCCATTACTTCGCCACTTACTTCCCGTGGAGATATAAACGTAAGTAGAATCAAGATCAGGAAATAACGTATTAAATCTGACTCTGCAATAATAAAAACCGGTATACAATGGCTAAGTTCAAAAGATAAGCAACTCCTGACAACCTGAAACCTGTTCTATCGATGAAAATATTATTTTTTACTGAACAATGGTTAAAGACCGGTCTATAATGGCTAAGAGATAAGCTACCCCTGAAACCTGAATTCTTTTATCGATGTAAATATTGATTTTCACTGAACAATGGCTTGAAGTTTTCTCCATCTACGCGTCGCAGTCCCATGAAAATGTGAGGTTTTGGATAATAATTACGCACTATGTGATCTCGAATCTCGACACAGCAGTGTATAATACAAAGTGCATGGCTATGTTTATGTTCCANTGTCTTTATTGCTAGGTAAATGTAAAACATTCCTGAAATTTCCAAGCCATTCCTGCAGACTGCCACTATTAGTTCACGGAAACTCTATGTCAAGACCAGAGAGGCAGGATGGTCGTAAATATTAAACGTGAGTACGAAACTGCTACAGCGCATCATTCATGCTCCTTTGAACACTTCTTTGGACTTATGAGAATGATTTATGGGTTAAGCTTATAAACAAATAGATGGATCTATCGAAACTCACATAAAAAGAACGAAAGAGCGTAAAATATTCATATGAATTTTATTTTAGAAGAAACTACTGCAACTTCTGTATAGGCAGTTTCAGCTGGATGAATGAATGCTAAATACATACATAGTTAGAAGTTATAGTCGTAGTCGCAACAATCTAAAGTTTTGTTTAATTTTATATGCATGCTCTAGATAACACTTTCACCCTAAAGGTTGCGTTATTTTGTGATAGAGGGAGTTCAACTAGAATAAACGTATCCAGTCTTCAGGGGTTTGTTTGATCAAAGATCTGACTCAATTTAAATCGATTAATAGTCCTATTAATGCTAGACTGCTATTGACAGAGCTGTGGTAACAAGTAAAATCTATCTTAAATTAGGTATTTATCCCATCGCCATAAAGTTTATTTCTGGAGGGACAAGCTCAAATGCTTCATAACAAGATTTGCTAAACTTTGGCACTGAATAATAACCAGCTCAGAGAAACTCGTCGTTTTCTAATGAATACAAATACAAGACAATAGGGGGATGGACTGGAACTTTCGATTGGAAATTTAAATTTTGTATACCATGGCCGCCTTTGTTTATAGGAGATTATGGGGCGTCCATTAATTACGTGAGACAATTTTTGCAATTTTTCAACCCCCCCGCCCCCCTTGGTGAGATTTGGTGAGATTTTTCCAGACCCGCTCGCCCTCTCCACAATCTCACGTGAGATTTCTTAAAATACATAATATTTGCAATGTAAATGGGTAATATTTAAGCTACGATTAGGATTTAATATTAAAAAAACTGTTTCTTCTAATTTCTTTATTGTTAGACGGTTTAGAATGAAAAATTGAATAATTTATCATTTATCTTAAAATATATATATTTTTTTAATTTAAAGTAACCCAGTTTTCTCGCAATTTTCTCGCTGAAAAAAATTACGTGATATTTGTCGAGACCCCCCCCCTCTCCCCAACGTGAGATTTAGTGATATTTTTCTTGACCCCCTCACCCCCCTAAACGTCTCACGTAATTAATGGACGCCCCCTTATTTATTCGGCGGGCTGCATTGTAAGAGACTTCATAAATAACATTTTCAGTGGCAAGAAACTGTATTCGACTGTTTCTAACAGTCTTTGAATAATGCATTGAGGTTCATTAGCCTATAGCAATTACACTCGAAGAGCCTATGGGGAGAACTTAGAATCCTTAGGGAGTAATTAGAACCGGTGGCTTAGTGATGATATTAACCTTCGAAGCTCATAATGATGTTTAGTAATACAATAAGGTGTATGAGTAACAATATCGCAATTCGACTCGAAAAGTATAGGACTAAGTCTTTGGAAAAAATATGCATGATCAAATTCTACAACTGAGACACTAGAAATTGTTTTTACGAGTAATTTATTCTAGAAATATTATCCTTAACAATATGATCAGTTCTTAGTATCATTCTTTTAGGTATTCGTATCCGAAGCATGGCAATAAATATCGGAACAGGCAATATAACATTTACAGCGTGTAGTAACCATTAAAACGGCGCTAAATTATTTCAGACGTACGGTTTATGATGTCTACCCGCATTCTTAACGCTCTGGAGACATGTGTTCAAAAACAAACATTTAAACTCCGAGTAGATGCTCAGAATAAAATTAAGTACAGTCAATATTAATATGTTTCACATGTACATACATAAATTACGGACTTCTGTTTACCTTTGCATAAATAGATTTTTGTCCTAAGTCTCTTATGGGACCTTTCATCATCATTTCAGCCATAGGACGTCCACTGCTGAACATAGGCCTCCCCCAATGATTTCCATAATGACCAGTTGGTAGAGCGGCCTACATCCAGCGCCTTCCTGCTACCGTTATGAGGTTTGTCGGTACACCTTAATAGACTTTTAGAAGTTGGAATCTTTTTCCTACCAGCGCTTCGCGACGAGCAATTGCCAAGTGCTAAGAAGCACAAGCATCCCTAAATAAAGCCAGGGTTTAGGTAAATATATGAGTTAGGTAATTTTACATGAATCACTCATATCAGCATCAGCAGTACCAGCGATTCTGATCAGAGCAGAACCAAAGACTCCTTGATTTAAAAACATCCTAGACATCATTCATCAAAACGTGGTCTGGACTCTAGATAGATAGTCTACAATGGCTTATCCAACTTGTGCCACCCTTTGACTTCAGCCAACTGACATCTTGTCTTACAACCCTGTCTCATGATGATACAAAACGTCTCAAGGTCAGGATCTTAAACTTGTAGTAGTTGAACTTGGATGGACGATAAACGGCGTAGGCCCTCAAAGTGGCCGTAAATCCTGGCCTCGACCACTAGCGCCAGAATATTCCAGATTACGTATCGTAAAACGAAAGAGTACATTGTAATCGGTCAAGCGTAGAGACACCAAATATTCGGAGTTTTCCGGAAAAGTAAGGGTTCTATCGTTGATCTTGCTGCATTTGGATTAAAAAAAGGACACTCAGTTGTGTCCTTTTTGAGAAGTTTGGTTACTATGCCAGCTAATAATAAAAAAGGAAATTATTTATGAAAGTGCGTAATAAATGTCCGGTTTTGTTTTATTGATTTGGTAATCATAGTCATGCGTAAATAAACGATTTTTTATTGCGAGCGATCGGAATGGATATCTTAATTGAATGAGGGCATGGAGCCAACATTTATGTGCACAAGGAGAAAAACAGTTTTATTATCAAAATAAAAATAGCTTTTACCTTTATGCAGGCGCTGCGTTAACGTCTTTATAGCTCTACAATTTGTCTTTCAGATTTCAAAAGGTTAGCTTCAAGACACTGTTCCGATCGTGCTTGAGCAAATAGAGCTGGTCTAACTCTACTTCCAGCGGCTGCACAGCTATACCACTTGAGCGCAGAGTACGTTTGCTACGATGCATTCTCGCGGCCATGTATGACCGCGCGCCGGCGCCCAACCGCACCGACGCCATCCGGAGTACCTGTCACGCTTAGGTTTAAAAGATACGTAGAAAGACACTGACCTGTTCCCATCCCTTTTGACGAAGTGCGGGTACTGCAGCGAGAAGCACAAATCCAGCTCCACATCCAGCGGCGGCACGGCAATATCATTTGAGCGCAGGGTACGCTTGCTGCTGTGCATTCTTGCCGCCAGTATGACCGCGCCGGCGCCCGCGCCGCCCGCCGCGCCGCCGCCCGCCTCGCCGAGCGCGCCGCATACTCGAAGACGGGTGACGCGTAGTGTGCATAGCCTGGGGACAAGCAGAAAAAGCGTTTTAATAACTAATTGAGTTATAATATCTCTTCATCCATCGACGTGTCTATAATGTAATGCGAAAGTAAGTCTTCTGATTGTTACCTAAACCAGGCCTGTTCATCTCCGCGAGTNGACTGCTATTGACAGAGCTGTGGTAACAAGTAAAATCTATCTTAAATTAGATATTTATCCCATCGCCATGAAGTTTATTTCTGGAGGGACAAACTCAAATGCTTCATAACAAGATTTGCTAAACTTTGGCACTGAATAATACCAGCTCAGAGAAACTCTTCGCTTTCTAATGAATACAAATACAAGACAATAGGGGGATGGATTGGAACTTTCGATTGGAAATTTAAATTTTGCATACCATGGCCGCCTTTGTTTATAGGAGATATCTATTCGGCGGACTGCATTGTAATTGTAAGAGACTTCATAAATAACATTTTCAGTGGCAAGAAACTGTATTCGGCTGTTTCTAATAGTCTTTGAATAATGCATTGAGGTTCATTAAGCCTATAGCAATTAAACGCGATGAGCCTATGGGGAGAACTTAGAATCCTTAGGGAGTAATTAGGACCGGTGGCTTAGTGATGAGATTAACCTTCAAAGCTCATAATGATGTTTAGTAATACAATAAGGTGTACGAGTAGCAATATCGCAAATTAACGCGAAGAGTATAAGATTAGGTCCTTCGAAAAAATATGCATGATCAAATTCTACACTTGAGACACTAGAAATTGTTTTTACAAGTATTGATTCTAGAAATATCTTTAACGTTATCGTTACCTGAATATCAATTCTTGGTATCATTCTTTTAGGTATTCGTATCCGAAGCATGGCAATAAATATCGGAACAGGCAATATAACATTTACAGCGTGTAGTAACCATTAAAACGGCGCTAAATTATTTCAGACGTACGGTTTATGATGTCTACCCGCATTCTTAACGCTCTGGAGACATGTGTTCAAAAACAAACATTCAAACTCCGAGTAGATGCTCAGAATAAAATTAAGTACAGTCAATGTTAATAATATGTTTTACATTGTAGCTACATACATTTTATGGATTATTGTTTACCATTACCTAAGTCCCATGGGACCTTTTTCAGCCATCTAGGATGTCCTCTGCTGAACATAGACCTCCCTCTAAATAATGACCGGTTGGGGCGGTCTGTATTCAGCGACTTCCTGCTACCGTTATAAGGTCGTCGATCCACCTTAAGGGACCTTTACATGTTAGAATCTTTTTCCTACCAGCGCTTCGTGACGAGCTGAGAAGAAAGAAGCACAAGCATCCCTTAACAGAGCCAGGGTTTAGGTAGTACATATATTTTACATGAATTAGCATCAGCCGCATCAGCGATTCTGATCAGAGCAGAACCAAAGGCTCTTTGATCTAGAAAACATCCTAGACCGTGGTCTAGATAGTCTACAATGGCTTATCCACCTTGTGCAACTCATCTTGTCTTCATCCAACTGACATCTTGCCTTGTAACCCTGTCTCATGATGATACAAAACATCTTCCCAAGGTCAGGATCTTAAACTTGTAGTAGTTGAACTTGGATGGACGATAAACGGCGGAGGCCCTCAAAGTGGCCGTAAATCCTGGCATCGGCCACTAGCGCAAAAATATTCCAGATTACGTATCGTAAAACTAAAGAGTACATTGTAATCGGTAAAGCGTAGGGACACCAAACCTTCGGAGTTTTCCGGAAAAGTAAGAGTTCTATCGTTGATCTTGCTGAATTTGGGTTAAAAAAGGAACACTCAGTTGTGTCCTTTTTGGGAAGTTTGGTAACTATGCCAGCTAATAATAAAAAAGGGAATTATTTATGAAAGTGCGTAATAAATGTCCGGTTTTGTTTAATTGACTTGGTAATCCTAGTCATGCGTAAATAAACGATTTTTTATTGCGAGCGATCGGAATGGATATCTTAATTGAATGAGGGCAGGGAGCCAAACCTCATAGCATTTATGTGCACAAGGAGAAAAACAGTTTTATTATCAAAATAAAAATAGCTTTTACCTTTATGCAGGCGCTGCGTTAACGTCTTTATAGCTCTACAATTTTTCTTTCAGATTTCAAAAGGTTAGTTTCAAGACACTGTTCCGATCGTGCTTGATCAAAATAGTCTAATTCTACATCCAGTGGCGTCACGACAATGTCATTTAACCACCGCAGCTTCGTGCGCTTACTTGTGTTCACTGACTGACTTATAAGAAGATAGACACTGATCCGTTTCCATCCCGCCAAAGTGCGGGTACTTTAGAGAGAAGCACAGACTAATCTCGACAATGAAATCTAATGGTGGCGACCGCAGCGTGCTCCTTTCTGTTATTAGAAGCTTTTTAAACAACACTGACCTGTTCCCATCCCTTTTGACGAAATGCGGGTACTGTAGCGAGAAGCACAGGTCTTTGAATTAATTTAAACAGGTTTTAACGCGATACGCGGATAGGTAACATTGAAATCATAAGCACAGGTCTAACTCCACATCCAGTGGCTGCACCGCTATATCATTTGAGCGCAGAGTACGTTTGCTACGATGCATTCTCGCGGCCATGGATGACCGCGCCGGCGCTCACGCCACCCGGAGTTGACGCTTACCTATCACGCTTAGGCTCATAAGATACGTAGAAAGACACTGACCTATTCCCATCCCTTTTAACGAAGTGTGGGTACTGCAGCGTGAAGCACAGGTCTAACTCCACATCCAGTGGCGGAACGGCAATGTCATTTGAGCGCAGGGTACGCTTGCTGCTGTGCATCCTCGCGGCCAGTATGACCGCGCCGCGCCCACGCCACCCGAAGTTGCTTACCTGTCACGTTTAGTCTTAAAAGATACGTAGAAAGACACTGACCTGTTCCCATCCCGCTTGACAAAGTGAGAGTACTGCAGCGAGAAGGACAAGTCTAACTTCACATCCAGCGGCGGCACAGCTATGTCGTTTGCTGCTGTCATCCTCGACGCCAGGATGACCGCGCCGGCGCTCACGCCATCCGGAGTTGACGCTTACCTGTCACGCTTAGACTTAAAAGATACTGACCTGTTCTCATCCCTTTTGACGAAGTGCGGATACTGTAGCGAGAAGTACAAATCCAGCTCCATATCCAGCGGCGGCACAGCTATGTCGTTTGCTGCTGTCATCCTCGACGCCAGGATGACCGCGCCGGCGCTCACGCCATCTAGAGTTGACGCTTACCTGTCACGCTTAGACTTAAAAGATACTGACCTGTTCCCATCCCTTTTGACGAAGTGCGGATACTGTAGCGAGAAGCACAGGTCTAACTCCACATCCAGCGGCGGCACGGCAATATCATTTGAGCGCAGGGTACGCTTGCTGCTGTGCATTCTTGCCGCCAGTATGACCGCGCCGGCGCCCGCGCCGCCCGCCGCGCCGCCGCCCGCCTCGCCGAGCGCGCCGCATACTCGAAGACGGGTGACGCGTAGTGTGCATAGCCTGGGGACAAGCAGAAAAAGGGTTTTAAATTCTGATGGTGTCAATAATATCACTTCATCCATCGACGTGTCTATAATGTAATGCGAAAGTAAGTCTTCTGATTGTTACCTAAACACCTATGCATATTACCTAAGAAGTGTCTGTCAACGACAGTTGGGACGAGACTATTCCCACCTCTCGTTCCCACTGCTGCAACTCCTGTGTAGGATCTACAATCTACAGATTGACCGCCAATAAAAAATAACCCCAGACAGTTGGGAGTTTTTAATGTTAGACATTCTTGATTGTTGCAAGCTTATTATAGCACCTACCTAAACTGTAGCGTCTAGCTTGTCTAACGTCTATTCCCTTATCTGAAATTATGTAACATAATGAAATTGCTTCAAAAAATAAGAGCGAAATTCAGGAGATACTTTTTTCCAAGCATAGGCATTAGGCATATGCTGCCAAAAAAATAAACGTAAATAACATCGATAGAATCTTGCTCTATTCAAGTCATTCAGAAATAACCTTTTAGCGACGAAAGGCACAATCATCCGTATTGTTACGGCACAGAACTCCCAGCTGTCCCTTATTAGGGCCCCACACAAATGCCGGGACGGAACAGTTTTGTCCCGTAACAATGTCCGCCCGTCCGGGGAAGTCCGCTGTAGAAGGCCTTCGGCTAAAACATTTTTGCCTTTCATTTGAAACAGTTGATAAACTTTCCTTGTAAAATTCTTTCCCCAAAAAATATTCGGAAAAGATTTTCAAAGTCGACGAATTTTTATAACTCAGTTAATACTTCAGTTCTTTTTTCGTTCGTTTTAGCCTAATGAGATTTTCTCCCCCGACTTGAAAGGGCAAAGCGACCGAATTTCACAAGGACCGCACGCTTGTTTGCTATTAGTTCAAATGAAATTAATTTCGTGCAAGATGAGCTCAGTGTTTTTAATTTTGAAGAACTGTTGTCATTTTCAAACCAACTCCGTGAAATTAGATTTAGGGCTGATTTGTCAATCATCAGATATCTTTTAACTGAAGAATAAACTTGTATTTTTGGCATATTTCCCATACTGAAACTGTCAATGTGCCAAAATTATTCTTCAGGTAAAAGTTATCCGACGATTGAAAAATCAGCCCTTATACACACAAGGTTGCTTAAGGGTGAATACCTCAGGGTGAGGTTTAATACGATCAAAAGAGAAAAAATACTGAACCTGCTAAGGCTTTTCTCAAATAAGATTTATTTTGATTCCATAAACTATTAACAATAACATTGTTCAGCTGTAGATCGTGAAAGGAATATCTCCATATCCTTATAGAGCACAGCTGTCTGTTTTAATTGACTGGTGCCCGGCGGATTCCATTGACGATAGCCTTACATAGAATGCATGCATAATCAAATGATTTTGCAAAATATGTTATGTCGCAGTTTTAATTATAGGTTTTTCTTATTTGCGATAAACTTAAGATGGGCTTTTTTCCACGTTATGTCTAAATGCTGATACTTATTAGCGAGAGCTTTCGATCACATTAATCCGCGATGCTGATCACGAAATTGGTTCCTTTCGATTCGATTGGGTATCATTTCCTAGTTAAATATCCCATTATCTGGTGTAGACCTGGGTCGAGGCGGTTTTTCAGTCTTCAAAAACAGTTAATTGACCGTCAATTTAATAATTTCAGGGTGCTCCCCTAGGCGTTGATATTCCGACGCAAAGTAGTCCGTTAATTATTTCGATGTTGAGGACAACCAAAGATCTTACTTTGTTACTGATACCTACCAATAGAGGTATAAGTTAGGTACAAGGCATCTTTTCAATTGACTAAAATAATATCACAATCTAGAGTTGGTATAATATTAGTCCGCCATATGATATCTATTCAGTTTAACGATAGTCGTAAACTTTAATAACAACAAAAAAAGAAATAAAGATACTCTTCAAGATCGTAACATTTATTCCAGACATCGGTTTCTGAATGCTCCATCATTTGATACGCGTTGTCAAGGTCAAGGCGAATATAGCATTTGGCGTATATTTTTATTCAACTTTAGTTCTAAGAAACATTGGGCAATGCTATCTATGATAATAAAAAAGGCGTTAAAGCTTTTATTACTTTTTAGACTTTAAACAGCTCTAATATGTTTAAAGTCAGAGCAGATAGGAAAATACTTCTCTCCAATAATAAATGAACGAAGCCAACAATTTATAGCGCCATTCTCTCTAGCTAATTTACTATGCAGAAGCATGCACGTGAAATTAATTATTGTACGTACCATGGCTGTTATATTATCACCTCACTTCTCATATAACACAAGCTTTATTTCTAACATATGGGCGAAGGATATAAAGCTCCATAATATCTTTTATGTGACTTTCATAACACAAGTGGCCACTTTGTATTCTTCAAAAACAATGTTACGTCGCATGGCGGACAAAATCGCAAACTCAACGCAAAACTCTCCCAACACATTTAATATTTGTTACAGGCTCAGCAAAATTGATTTAATAAAAGTTAGAAAAACAAAGGACCTAGAGGGCTGGTTCGAGAGGCCAGACGGAATCTTAAATACTTGTTGGGTTTTCGGACGGGCTTGTGCGTCATTGTAGAGAGTTAGGGACGATGTTTTTAAAGGCCCACGCCATGTGATATCAAATCATATCATGTTTGGTATCTAAATATGGCTACAAGATATTTTTATATGTCTGAACATTACAACGCTGTTTATATCTATCAAAAATAAGACTTTTACTTGTTATTTAACGAATCTATTCTTATAAATTGAAATGCTTACCTTTTTCTGCTTGGTATCTTTGCCACTACACTTGTAGCGCTTTTCAAAAGATCGATGTCATTATTATCATCATCATTTTAGCGATAGGACGTCCACTGCTGAACATGATTTCCATATTCCATTCCATAAAATATCAAAGTTTCATAAACTTTACACCGACGGTTGCAGAACCAAAGAGCAACGTAAATCCGATAAATCATAGTTGGTGAAAAGCTTCGCATTTACAAATCATTTGCTCTGAATCGCAGCGAAAGATACTTTACTTTAATACCCCATTTACGCCGATATAAAACGCCTCCAGTATTTCTTCGTCTAGATAAAGCCTGGACTAGACTCACGGATAAATCCGTGGGCGAGTAGCGTAAATGCAAAATGTAGGCTAAACTCAGCTCAGGTACTTATTATGAAGAATATACATTTAGGAGTTTAGGAATAAGGAATTAAAACTGTCTTACACATATTAACTTTCATGTAAATGCTACTACAGAGAGCAGTAGATGTTCCAATTTCCCGAATTGTATTTATAGTAGTGCCAAATTAATACAAAATATATTTTGTCGTAAGGATTACTCAAGCATAGATTTTATGAATTGAACAATTTGAATTAAGTACTGTGGTAGCTTTTATCTAGCCAGGCGACTAAAGTTATAGACGCTAGACAAGTCGAGAACACAACTCAAGATCGGAACATAGTAGGAATAGCCAATAAAAGAAGCATCACAAGCACAAAAGGAAAACGTATCCCTTTACTCCTGCATAGCTGGACATAGATATTGGCAATTCCACGGACGTTAAAAGCATCTGCATATTCTCGCTTGAACGCATAAAGCCTGGTCTAGGCCGGCGGTTGCCAAATGGAATGGCCTGGAAGTTTCCAGAGCGTCTGGAGCGAATCTCGTAGGCGCTGAGCTAAGCGGATCGACGTAATCCTAAATGCACGCTCTACAAAATGTAGATGGAGCGGTGAGTGGGAGTGCTAGATTTTATGCATTTTAGATCTAACGGGTGTTTCATAATATGCGTTTTCAATAGCATTGAGAACTGGAATTTAGCTTTTATCTCTTGAGTCTTGAATTAAATAGAATAGAATAAGTATTAGTATCATTAGTATCTCATCCCTAAATTAGGGTGTGCTTGATGTTTTGCTTTTCATGGAGGTGCTTTCCTGACTTACATCTGAAAGTCTACCTATCTAGTTTTCAGACAAATCAAATGTCTATTCATTCAATCAAATCAAGCAACCTTTAAAAAGGTGTTAAAATAACATTTGCCTAGTGGCACCTGAAATTATAGAGGCGAAAACCATTTCGCCTCTATAATTTCAGGTTGCACCCATTAACATTTTCAACGTTAGGATACTATTACTATGTGAGATGTCAGATGCTAGGAAAATGTCCTGTCATGAAAGGCATAAAGATGCTGCGGAAAGTTCCCGCGAGGACACTGTATGTTTGGAAATTTAATCTAAAACCTCCAAGAGGGAGATAGAGTTGAGAGAAAAACTCTAAGAATCAGTAAGACGATTTTGACACTGGATCACGGAGGCGATTAATTACATCACTCTTTTTTCCTGATTTCGTACATCACAGCACAGGTCTAGTGGGAAAACCCTAGCGAAGCGAGGTAATTTGTACTTTCAAAGCAAGTGAGTGATGCGGGCGAAGTATGTGTATGTGTGACGCGAACAAAGAATTTGAGCATGATAAATGTGTAGCGATCTAAAAGCACACAGCTTTGGTGTAAAAGCGGCCTAATTGCTAAGGTCCCTCGCCCACGGCGACTTTTTGGAGCGATGCAGTAGCCATTCTGTCGCACATTCGCATCGATACAGTAGCAATGCGGTCGCTAGCTGTGCCCTCGCCCACATAATCGCGCTTCTGTAGCGTTTCCGTCGCGATTCAAACGCGCGGCACAAAATTACTCCTCTCTCCCCGGTGTCATCCGAGTCCGACGTTCGCGCGTTTGCAATGATACAGTCACGATGCTGTAGCGCGTTAGTAGCGCGTTGCAAATGCGATTAACGCGCGTTATTAGCGATACTGTCGCTCGTTTACGAAACGCGCGACAGCATCACTACAAAAAGTCGCCGTGGGCGAGGGCCCTATAACCGCACATTTTTCGGCCTCACCACTGCGAGAGCCCGGGTCTGCCGCAGACACGCGTCCTGCTTCAAAATTAATGTAGGCCGTCCCGACGTGTGAGCCCCCGCGTTTTAATTGTTTTGCGCTCATCCCGGATAGTTGGGTGGGCGTGAGCGAGCGGGTTTAGTGGTCGCTTTGTATTATTGTCTACATTTCAGTTTCATCCTTTTCTGGAATTACGTTTACGAGGGTTTAGTCGTTTAAAGTTATGCTGTCTACATAGCGATGTATAATCTGCTATTTATTTAATCCGCTATGCTTATGGTTTCAGCGTGCTAAATGTACCTAAGCTGGGCTTATAGATTCTAATTTGTATGGAGAATCGGCCGATACCAAATCGATGTAATGTGCGCCCTTCCATACATCTCCATACTGATCAACAGCCCGACCCAACTATCGGCCAACTTGGTCTGCACCTAGGCTTAATATATGATTAAACTACACAAGTATAATATAGGTGACTACAAACGTATGTTCGCAATTGCGGTTGGTTATTGTCCGATACAGCAACCACAAAGTCAGGCAATCAGCATTAAAAATACTTGGATTACAGAATAAACTGTACTACGAGAACATTTCTAGTTCAATGTAGCGATCCCAACATTGCCAGCTCACCTACACCTTAACTAACTTTCAATATGCCCATATCCGACCTAGCTTACACAAGAACAACCGTGCAACTTGATTCTTCTGTCTACAACCATAAAGCTCAGAATAGTACAGATAGATAGGTGTTTCTAACCGTTCCTAGATCGCCTAGTTTCTTTTTATAGCTGCGAGCAAACATGGCCAGCCATTGAAGCACCGGAAGGTTAACAAATGAGGTGATCCAGTTGCAGACCAGTCCTGCAGAACACCATAAGCGAGCTTTCTCTAAGCACGTTACAACGTAGAAAGAGTGATGTGTTATCACTTTTATAGCAAAACACGATATATCTTCAAACATAACCGGAAAAGTGGCCATTTATTGCGTACATTAAAATATCATTACATAACGCAATTTTATGTGGCATTTATAGTAATATAAATTGCCGCTATTTTCTTATAAAAAGTATAAAGTAAAATCAAGTATCGTAAAATCCTAACAAATCAACAAGAGGCAAAATAATTTAGTTTAATAATACCTATAATAATTATTATCAGTCTCCCACGTCATGCGAATATTCTATTGTTCAATAACCTATCGTAAATTCATTAGCAATGAACCGTAAAGCAAAAGATATGAGAAGTAAACCCGAGGGAGTTTATAAGAAAATCTATTCCTCGAGGCAAACAAAAGGTTGTTAATAAAACATCGTTTTGTTCACAAAATAAAAATGGCAGACGTTTTCCTTTTCTCCTTAAACATTAAAGAGCGCTTGACAGATATTGCCGACGTATACATATTTGAAAAAACGTAGAACTTTTGGTTTCAGCTTTATTGCAGTATAATTTGTTTTGTGATGAATGGGAAAAGTTGGTGGGAAATGAAAACATGTAAGTGCAGTTTCTCATCTCCAGAGTTTCAGCAGCAGTTACAGTTCTGAACTAAGTTAATGAATCAAATATGAGTTACCTTACAATTTTAATTAATTAAGTAAAACCTTGGGGGAGGCCTTTGTCCAGCAGTGGACGTCATTTGGCTGAAACGAACGAACGAACGAAGTTAAATAAGCAAAAGGGTCAATCTCCTTTAGAAATGTGAATTACAAAGAGAAAAACGAAACAGATGTTTTAGTTATTCGCAATCTCATCCGCTCTATCATCTTTATTCATAGAAATTCTGTAAAGATTTTTCATAGTTAAGTTGTCAAAGTGCTTGGAAAAGTTAATAGCAAAAAATCTACTACTTTTATGTCTTTTCATGTAAATTCGTTTGTCTGCACCCACCTTTACAACCCAATCACAACTTCCATTGACAACATATCGAACCTTTTCGCTAAAATTAACGTCAGAGCTCGACCTCATTCGGCACGCGACTCGCGCCTGTCAAAGCCCCAGTGACAGCACTTGTCAAACGCATAACCCGTGGGCGGAATTTTTATAGAAACCACCCAATATTCCCCGGATTATAATCGAATATGATCCGGTTTTCAGGGAACGCGCTGCGTGATGTTATTTTTAGGTAATACGAATATTTTTTAGGTCATGTGGTGAAAATATTTGTTTAGGAAAACCTTTAACAAAGTCTCATAAGTCGTCGAAGATTGCTATGAGAAAGCCACTGGTAAAGTAGTTATAGGTACAGTGGATAGTAGACATCGTATTTAGTTCAATATGCCTTCGTCTTACAGGACTCTAGCAAAAGAAAACCTCTATTACCAAATTTCCTTCTAAAGAAGTTTCAAGCTCAAAGAAATACAATAAAGTAATGCTAATAAAATAATGTAATCTTTAAAGCTTTACGACTAAAAATGCGTCCTCATCCACAACAAACAACAGGGCTAAGATATTAAAAAGTCTCTAACAGATAAAATCTCTATTTTCCACAGAAACCATCAACGCAGCCTCACCGGTCTATACCAGAACCCTACACCAAGCCTGCCTCCTTCGTCCACCCCATCACTGGACACAAACGACCTTCCTGGCACCATCTCAAGCCATGGGTTAACCATGGGACATAGCATCAGGCACGCTAGCAGCGGATCCAGAAAACGTCCCCCTGTACCTCCCCATGCGTTCAAAGCGGACAGGCCAGGGGAAGTCAGGAAATACTCCCCTTTCCACTACCCTGGACAGGTAACCGATTCCTACCCTGGACAGGTAACCGATTTGTACGGGATCGTGTTCTTGATAAAGCTGATCATGTTTCAGCACATGTTCACTTCTGATATTGAAAATGAATAAGTATTTTTTTGATCTTGAACGTATTTTTGTTTTGTAGATAAAGGATAAGTTTGTTTTACGATGAAGTTGATCGTGCTCAAGTTGTTTATCGTGAATTTTTAGGGAGTAATAAATTGTTTTGTTCATCTTAACAATAGGTATTGAGAAATGTTATTTATTTTAAGTGGCATTAATTTACGCGACTAATACAATTCGCAAAGCTCTACCTAAATTGTTGTTTAGTGTGTAATAAAAGATTTTTATTAAAACCCAATTCCATTTTCAATTGTCCCAAAAGGCATTTCTTATTCATATCAAAAGTTAGGAAAACAGAAAGAATAAGAAAAAACTTGGTAGGTTAGTAAATATGGCTGATACAGTTACACAACGTATTTCAAATCAGACGCAAAGCCCGACAGCATCCCTCGTTAGTATATTTTGCGAGAAATCCAGCAAGTATTCCGAAGCGCGTTAAAAAATAAACAATAGTCTTTGTGCTCTCTGAAACAGCGACATTTGTTCAGCGAATCATGTTCCAGCGAACTAGCTGTCGTTGCTATAGTAACGATTTGGTCAAGCGAGAGTCGAGATAGATGCTGGTTCTGTACGTGGACTAATTTGGATAATCAGTCACGAATGTTGTCTTCCTCTAATCTCGGATAGCGTAGATCTAGTAGAATGTTAATGCTGTCTCAGGCTTTAGGTTATGTATGAGGCTCACCATGTTTGCTCATTGTGGCCAAGTGACTTTGGCATTTTTAAGTTTCTTTCGTGATTTTCACCTTAGTGATCAAGATTTGAAACACATTGACAATATGTAAAGCAGAGAGCAGTTAAGGTAGCTATTCTATTAGATCCAATCCAATCTACGCTGTGAAGTGAAATTTTACCTGGGTAAAAGTAAAATGTATTCTACTACTTATATGTCGCAATAATATGGGTCCGAATGAAGTTTATAATGTCCACTGACTATATTTTGGACATGCACGTACAAGATATCTATCTGTACACGTACAAGCGCAAACTAGACAGAATATCATTGCTTTGATTATTACGTTGACCTCTCTCAAGAAGCTCTCAGCCAAATCCTGCATTCTATATGCGGGACGGTAAGGATAAAAGAAACCACTTCGCGCCAAGAGAGCTCGTTCGTTAGACATAATTTACATTCCCAATTGAAAAATAAAATGTGAGTTTTTGCTTTATTCGCGATTCCATTATTCTCGAGGAATATTTTTTCAAATCCCATATTTTCACAATGAACCCAGAAGTGTGAGAAAAGTCCTCAGTAACGTTAATGTTATAATGCCTTTGTGTTCCGAAATGGTAAATTATCTACCACAATCGGTATTAAATTAAACGAGGATATTGTTAAATGCTTTTATCGTGCAAATGCACTGGGTAATTGAATAATCATCCATGTGTGAATAAACTTAATTAATTCCAGCAATCTGGAATTGCAGTAAATTTTAATTAAACACGGGCAATTTTAATGTGGTTACAATTAAAAGGCTTTGCTGGCTGTAAATAAAGAGGTGGGAGAGCCTGAAAAATTGCCAGCGATGAAAATTTAAATATTTACCCCATCAGGAAAATTAACATACGGCCAGTTTATTGATGAACGATATTTTGTTTACTTTAGCGGTCAGCAGTGACGTACTTCCAACCACGAAATCGAACCTTACAACAAGAGAACACAATAATTAGAAAACAAATGAACTAAATATACATATACTGATTCGCAAAATAGCATAGTCTAAGACTAAGAATAATAAGATACTTAGTTTATGCGTATTGACATTAGCTAGTTGAATAATTCGACACGCGCAAGTTCTCTTATCACAAGACTGCGTTAGTTCTAAGCTCAAAGCAATCCCCGGATCAACTGATTCGAAAGAAACAAATTGTCCGATCGTTGAGAATGAGAACCGTTCCACAAATACTTTCCATTGAGGGTTGCTACAAACGTCATGTTTACAGATGTAATAGTGGAAGAAAATCCTTTTCTTGCTACTATCGTAATGTATTACAGATTTAATAGTGGAAGAAAATCTTTTTCTATGTATAACTGAAACCATGATTGAATAGCACCTACTGTTTCGTTTCACAACATAGGACCTCTTAGAATATCCATTCTCGACGCTACCACATTTTCTAAGAAAATATACCTACAAGAAAATTTTCGCATTTCTCTCCAACAATATCAGAGAATCTTGGAGTGTTATTGTATGAAACTCGAAATTACAAACGTAATTCATAGCTGTTAATTTACTTTTATTGTATCCGACCAACGCTTATTTCATAATTTTATTGCAAATTAAAAGAGCCATTAATAGTGAAAATTATTATCTGTTTCTGCAACATACTGCGTGTGAAAATCGTTTTACAAGTAGTTTTCTAGTCACCTCGTTTATGGGATTTCCCAACGGAAGGTAAGCGACAGTTCAGGATCAACATTTTCAGATCATGAAAAGATAATGTATCAAATATGAATATAGGCAAATGACTGATATATAGCATTCATTCACAATCATAAATCATTCAAAAGAAGCAACGACATTTTTTTACTCCACTGATCTTGTTAATACCCCGAAACAAAGTTTTTGTTAAAAGAACTGACTTCTAGCTCAAACTAATGCATACCATCTGCCGCAACTAGTTGGAAAACTTCCACATGTATGCGCGTAAGCCTTTCGGATGGAAAATTAATACTGTGTCTAGGAATAAGTCTGGATGAATCCCAGACATGTGGGACAGCCCTGCACAGATCCAATTACGTTAGAGGCAAGCGTTATCCCAGTACCTAGACTGGAATTGTTTTTAGATACAACCACGAGATTGCGTATCGTGGACTTAATAAATGGGCATGGACTAGAATGTGAGAGCTTAAACGTGATTCCAATTTGTTTTAGAATAACCCGCGTAAGATCACAGGCAGACCAAAACATTTCTTTAGAGGGCTCTTTATCGACACAATCATGCTTCAATACGCAAAAACATGCTGCAAGATCTAAAAAGAAAGCTTCCATTTTTAATGGTTCACGAAAAATTTGCAGTTGATCTAGTTTCTTTAGGCTAAACCCTCCATTTGCCTCTGGTTTTGATAGGATCGTGCTCTTGCAGTGGAGACTAAATGGCCCAGTGATAAATATGTATATTTTATTAACTGTTCATACAGGGTGGAAACGTTAAGTGATCTCACTGGATTATTTCTAAACTATACAAGATATCGAAAAACTGATTACTGATTCTGAAAGTGCTTCACAAGTTCTTTCAAACGATACCAATAATAGGTTACAGAATAAGCTGGATCTATCCGAAAATTCAATTTTTCCAGCTTCCATACATTTAGTACAGTCACAGTAATGGCACTCTTGTCTTGTTAATATTATAGCAAGTAAAGCCTAAAACCAATGTTTTCCAAGAATAATTTTAAATAAGAATGCAATTACGAGTTCATTTTAAGTGTTTATTTTTTCATAAAAAAATTAAATACTTCTATTATTGTTTGGCATACTTTTAGTATGGAGGCTGAAAACATTAAATTTTCGGATAGATTCAGTTAATTCTGTAACCTAATATTGATACCGCTGGATAGAGCTTGTGAAGCACTTTCAGGATTAGTAATCAGTTTTTCGATATCTTGTATAGTTTAGAAATAATCGAATGAGATCACTTATCGTTTTCACCCTGTATATTCTTCCATCATTTACTTTTGTTGCTGCTACTGCTAATAATATTCTAAATCCCACAGTCCACAGGAGAGTGGGTGGTGGCACGAGCTGACGATATCCTCAACTGGGGCCGCAAGAACTCCATCTGGCCCCTGACCTTTGGGCTGGCTTGCTGCGCCCTTGAAATGATGCACTACGCTGCACCCAGGTCAATATAATCCTCATCACCTTTAACATTCACAATTTCAGGTCTTAACACCATTACCAATTAAACGACGCGAATCAATCATGAAGCGGACAAGAAGTTTCTCAAATAATGTGATAAATGACCAACCTGAGAGAATTATTATAAATTAGAACTAAAATAATGTCGTTAAAAACCTGAATAAAATTTTACTTTAGCTGTGATCCTTTCACCTGAATTTGATGCTATACTAAGCAAAGTGGTATTCATACATGAACCGCATGGTTCACAGCAGCACAATGTAGTATGTAGAGACGACTACACTCACCTGAAACAAAAGAAAAATGGCGTTAAGCACATAATAATTCATTAATAACTAGCTTTCCGCCCGCGGCTTCGCCCGCGTGGATTTTTGTCTGTCACAGAAAAACTTTATCGCGCGCGTCCCTGTTTCAAAAACCGGGATAAAAACTATCCTATGTTCTTTCCCGGGACTCAAACTATCTCTATGCCAAATTTCATCAAAATCGGTTGCGAGGTTTAAGCGGGAAAGCGTAACAGACAGACAGACAGACAGAGTTACTTTCGCATTTATAATATTAGTTGGGATTCATTTACTTATACCTATACTTTGAGATCTCCTGAATGGTATAGTGGCTGACACAAACTCAAGCCGGTAAGGTTTTGATAGTTTAGTCTATGGACTAATGTAGGCTTCAGTGGTTGGATGTTTTATTAGCTAGTTAGTTCCTGGATACACAAGGTTCATACTCATACGAATTATACAGACACAACCAAGACAAACTTGCCCAGAAGATGCCTGTCACCTTCATTGGCTAGTCATGTTGTAGACCCTAACGTATAAGTGAATGGTATAGACACACATTACTGATAATACACAGAATTGATACATTCAACTAAGCTTTGAAAAGCTTAGAGTTGTTTTTTGAGAACACTAATCTGGCAAGGTATATTCCACGCCTGTTTTCTTATTACCCCATTCCTCTTTTATTGAGTACCTGATAAGATTTTATTCTGGATCCTTTTCATCTCATATTCCCCCGTCTGAATGTTATTGCCACTTGGTTTTATCTCAAGACGAAACGTCTCAACTTGTGACAAATGAGTCGTGAGCAATCTCGGAGATTGACACGTTTCATTGGAGAAATATTACTTTTTTCCTCTATCTCGACTGGTATGGAGCGAGCGACGTATTTCTTCGAGTGACAAGATTGGCGCTTTCGTTTTATTTGCAAGATGTCTTACCTTGTATGTCTAAATTAATATTTTTGTAAGGGAATCTTTCGCTTTTCTTTTTATACACATTTATAAGAATTTTCTTTTCTGAGAATCAAAGAACATGTGCGAGAAATTGCGTTAAGGCCCAAAAATATCAGTATTCCTTGTTATTATTATTACTGATACATTATGTGCTTCTATTTCGCCCAAATACATACATATACTTAGTGGTTATGTGTGCTAAACGCGTGACTAGCTCATGTCAGTTGCAGTTGAACTTCACCACGCATCGTCTAGCTTCAGTAATTCTGTTTAATTTAAACATACGCGAATCACACGTTCCGTTCCGTTTTCGTGAAATATTCAGATACAAGTGTTTGTTAGTGATACAATCAGAGTTTTAAAATCCACACTTCAAAATAGTAGGAGAAGGAGCTCTGATTAACCCGAGAAGGTAAAAACTCCCATGGTCCAATGTGTGTTCAGAAATACATATATCCCACCAAAAACATTCTGTAAAAAACTAGCCAAGTCTCGATGGAGCTGCTTGTTTATCTCTAAAAAGTAATGAAATCTAGACAAAGTCGTGCCAAGTCTATGGTTCCTTACTGCGATTTCTTTATTATTATAGTTAAATGTTGTGTGACTTGGCCGTTGAAGGGTGACAAAACCAGGTGCTCCATGACACCATTGCACCAATCAGTCGCCTGAACCGCTACCCACTGACGATGGAAAATTGCCACTTGGAAAACGTTGATTCAACAATAACCAGTCAATTGTAGGTTCAGTAAAGCTGCGTATTTATAATGTATGATTATCTTAATAAAGATTGTTCAAAAGCCAAGTCACACAACATTAACTATAATAATAAAGAAATCGCAGTAAGGAACCATAGACTTGGCACGACTTTGTCTAGATTTCATTACTTTTTAGAGATAAACAAGCAGCTCCATCGAGACTNCAACTACCAATTTTAACATTTTTTGTCACTTACTAAGTGTTGAATTTTATGGAATTGGGAAAGAAGTACCGAGTTTGAAGCGTTCATGAGCAGACATTGCAGTTGAATATTCAAGTTCTGAATTTGATTATTGATGAATAATAAAATAAATCCTACTAGCTCGATTGATGGTTTCATTTAATTTATCTAAACCAGGTTACCTATAATAATATTTTTTTCGTTAATTTATGAAAATATCAATTTAGCCCGTAATCCTGAATCCTGATACATAAAGTTAGCCTATTAATTTAACACAGGTACGACTGTACTCAGTGTTGCACTATCAAGTGCAATTGACGCGCCTCTATGCCAGGGTTTTTATGTTCTTAGTCAGGCTATAAATTGTAATACCTTCAATATCGTAGTATTCTTAGGAGCTCTGGTTAAGCATGAGAAGGAAAAAAACTCCCATGGTAGTACAATGTGTGTTCAGCAATACCTATATTCTCTCGTTACATTTGTTACGCGTTCATTGTCATGATCATGCATTTAAGAAAACCATGTCCAGCAGCCAGTGGTATAAAAGGGCTGATAATGAAGAATACAATAAGAACAAGACCACAGTTCTACGTCTATCTTGGACGCTTGAATGAGCATAACAAGTTGAGCATGCTTGTTCCGTCCAGAGTGTAATCAGATCGATATCTCGCAACCGACGAGGCGGCACGCGCCATTGCCTTCGTTGCGTCGGCCCGTTGCATCACTGCGATCTTTGTTGTTCCGATGCATTCATCAATGCCTCATTTCGAGCAATGATTTACACACTCAATGTGTGGCGTGAAATTTCAACGCACGTTATGAAAGTAAAACATAATGAAATTATATCACAATTAAGACGTGAATTGGAGAAACGTTAATTGAATGATTGCGAAAGCTGGTAACTGAATCACCGAAGTGATTGAAATTAACGTGACTTTTAGACAACTCCTGGTAATTTTCTTCATTTAATTAAGCTTCAATTGTTGACTACGAAGCTTGCAAACTCTCAACAAAGGATTTAATTAATGGCCCTTTATGTTGAAATTATAAGCACGTCACACAATGCGGACTAGGTTTAGATCCTTCCAAAGCAAACGGGCGACCGTCCACACAATATACGAAGCCTAAGCAAACACTCGAGCGTTTTAATTATCTTGTAATCCTCACGGAACACGGAACGCAATTACTAACCGTGTTAGTCAAATAAAATCGGGATTTAACGTGAAATCACAAATCTTGGTAGACAAAGTGAAAAGTAGCTTTAAAAGCCTTTTTCATAAAAGCGTTCTGCATTAAATGGTAGTTTAGTATAGTAACCAAAATATTCCAGAATTGAAACTCATTGATCGAGTTGCCTCAATTTGCTTGCACTGCATTGAACGTGCGCACGTGCGGTTCGCGCTGATTGACAATGCTATTGTTCGGGTATCGTATTAGAATTTCCTCTATAACGCCATGTCTGCATTTGATTTCAAATGGCAACGTTGCTAGTCGCTAAGCAAATCTATCATCTTCAAGTTTCGCAAATAACCTTATCTAGTTTAGAAGTCGAACTTAAATGTATAGCAATTTCCAAATTATTTTTAGGTATTTCAACACTCTTGGGATGGGACAGCTGCCAATAAATACAGACTTACAAGTCTAGTAACTACCAACTTTAAACTTCCATTCGACGTGAGATAGGTTAAAGTTACGTTACTTTAATAGTGTGCTTCGAACTTGGTTGCCATGTTAAAAGTTCTTCCACCTTTAAGTCTAACAATTTCTTAATTAATGTCTGTGTAGACTGTGTATAGCTCCAAGCTTATCTTAACTTGTGGCTGATAAAAGCTTCAAATAAATACATAATTTTTATTCTCCATTTGCTTTCATATTCTGACTGTGGTGATCTCAGACCGATATATGGATTTTAATTTCAAACTAGACCTTTATTTAAACTAAACAAGAAAGGTCCGATTTAAACTATCAAGTAGTGCTCAGAAATAACCCTAAAATGGGTCTCTAAGGGTTACAGTCAAGTAGTTCCCTGCACCCTTAACTTAGACGTGGCATAACGTAGTCGTAGATTCGAACAGCGAGTTAAATTTTGATATACAGGGTGTAACAGGGAGGGTGGATCATCGTAAGTCAAACGATGGGGGACTTCAATACCTATCGATATAACCCCCATGTATGTTCCGCGATTTTCAATGGTTCCAAAGTTATTGAGATTTTTGTGTTTAAGTAAAAAGCCGGAATTCAGTAAGTATAAAAGTCTTCACTATAGCTTACCTACTGGACCTGCTTGCATGATTTTTTTTCTAGAAGTAGTTCAATAGTGGGTCTTAATAATCACGATACCGATTCGTAAAAAAAGAATTAAAAAAATTATGTAAAATTTTCTTTGTTTGAAAAATTCAAGTACTTTTTTTCACTAGAGGCCTTGAAAGTTGTTAGAAATAATTCAAAGTTGTTAAAAATCATGCAAGCAGGTCCAGTAGTTAAGCTACAGTGAAGACGTTTATACTGAATTCCGGCTTTTTACTTAAACTTCACAAAAATCTCAATAACTTTGGAACCATTGAAAATCGCGGAACATACATGGGGGTTATATCGATAGGTATTGAAGTACCCCATCGTTTGACTTACGATGATCCACCCCCCCTGTTACACCCTGTATATGTATACGAGTATCGTCTATAGAATAGACTCAAAGTGCTACCTATAGGTATTATAGCTAAATATATTTTCTCATTTTCTAGATATGACATGGACCGTTACGGCATGGTGTTCCGAGGGACCCCTCGGCAGACAGACGTCATTATCGTGGCGGGTACTGTCACCAACAAGATGGCGCCGATCCTTAGGAAGACCTACGACATGATGCCCGAGCCTAGATGGGTGGTGTCGATGGGCAGTTGCGCTAACGGTGGTGGTTACTACCACTATACTTACTCTACTGTTAGAGGATGTGACAGGATTGTACCCGTAAGTTGCTTTTTCTTCTGTAATTGAACAATATTGGTATGCCTTTGCGAATTACCTAACTGAAAAATCACGATCGTTGGACAATCAGATGTTTTAGTACGAGGGCATCGGAGGTCAGGGTCAAGCAAGAGGGTCTCTTACCACTAGATCACGAAGGCGTTAGATGCCGGATTAAATAACATTCTGCTATGCGACTAGATAAAAAGCTTCAGGGTTGTGAAAAGTTTTATCAGTAACTGTATGTTAATAGGACATAATATTTCTGTCTAGGAAGGTACCAGAATGGTTTATAATAATCACGGCTTATTTTATTGCATTAATCCTAAATATTTTCCTTCTAAATTTTTGGCGTTGGCGTTGGATAAAAACGAAATATTGACAGGCTTTAAAACACCAAGAGGTCGTAAAGGGCACTCGAACGACGGAGTGTTTTTAACGCTTTAAGTCTTCGAAGGACAACACAACATCGCGAATGAAACAAATATTTGTCATTTACATCACATACTGTTGATTTACTTGAGTGTTTCGCTTTATTTCGAATCCTCCAGAGCTATTGGTTGTGTATTGTTGTTTTTAGTCGGCAAATATTAGTTTGCGGCATGTTAAGGAGACCTTTGTGTATTTCGACGTTTCCATTATAACCCCTTTGAGAATTGTCTGGTTGTAAATAACGATTCAATTTCGTGAAAGCATTTCAACAATATGAAGGCAAACTTACGGTTGGAAATAATCTTATTAGAAGTTACACTAACATTTTCAGAGACGTTATAATATAGACGTTATAGAGAACAATAGTGTCTAGACAAACCTCAAGAGGATTTAAGACACTATTTAAATCAAAGATGTAACGGCTAAATAATGTAATAATAAATAAAAAAATATGTATGTATTTTTTTATAACGTATTTATTGGTGACTTTATGACATTGAAATGTGCTAGTGGTATAATATGCATTGACACTGTAAAATCAAATCGCATGTCTCGTTAAATCCGACTCAAACTCGTATTTTTGCTCACGACGCAACGAATCAGAATATGGTAATGCATTTAGGATAAGAGGTTTTATTTTGTGTGTTTTACAAAATGGAGTTCATAAATCTGTTTTCGATACATTCTTTGTGTCAAATATTGGTTTTCTGCAGGCATCGTAGCTTCCACGGATGCTATTATGATCTGATTTATTTGAAAGATCGACAGTGATCATACAACCCGATCAGGTTAACTGCGCACCTGGCAGCTGTGACGTCACATCGACGCACTGATGGCTCTGGTACGGACAGTGCAAATGCGGGGAGCTGTGCGGGTGAGTGCAAGGGAAAGTCGCATTCGCGAGGTGCGCAGTTGGGTTGTAAATGTTGTAATTATATTCTATGGTTAATTTACGTTCTGCTTGTCTGTAAACTGTGTATTTGTGAATTAGGGTGGATTCGACTAAACAAGTGTAAATATTAATCTCAGAATAAATCGTCAGTTTAAACTTATTTCCCATACTGAGACTGTCAATGTGCCAGTTATTGTGGGTATACTGAATATTACTACGTCTCCCGTCCTACGCACCTTTACAGTTATACCAGGAGTTATTCTCGGATAAAATATGTTCGGTCGAATCAGGCTTAAGCGTTTTCTTTTCGTCTCAGGTTGACATTTACGTCCCTGGCTGCCCACCGACAGCAGAAGCGTTGCTGTATGGGATGCTCCTCCTCCAGAAGAAGGTGAAGAGAATGAGAGTGGTTCAAGTTTGGTATAGGCATTGAATTGTTATTTGTCCAAATTAATTATGTTGTGATTATTGATTAAACTTGTTTTGTTTTTGAGATTTTGGTTTCATTGAAGTTATGAAGACCCGTCTCAGTAAGAACTGACGATGTTTCAAACCCATAAACAAAAAATATTTTTGGGAAATGTTCTCAACTCAACTACGAGTGATAATAAAGACAGCAGTAGAAGAAGTAAAGGATGGAAAACTGAACGCAACGAAATAATTTTCGTTATCAATGCGATGATGTGTTGCTAATCCAAATTCATATACGAGAATATGTTAATTCGACAGCTTCGTTTTGACTCTTTCAGTAATGGTGCGTCCAGACTGGGCGAATGGGCTCGCGCGGCAATTTCAACCTGAGTGAGCAGGTCACTCAAGAGCAGAGTGAGCAGGATGACCAGCGTGCCGCGCGAGCACGTTCGGCCAGTGTGGACGCACCATAAGGATTATAGATTCACACTCGTATTAACAACACAGTATTAACTACACATAAAGAATGTATCAGAGATAATTCCGTTCATTACTCAGTATAAGCTAGGAATACAGGAATTTCACGAATATAATGACACCTCGCCTACGCTTTCCGCCCCTGGGAATCTATTGACGTGACTAGAATCACGTATTTAGAAACCTGATCTTGTTAAATAGATTTTGTACCTCCATTTTGTTAGACTAACATTCAAGTTTCTACATTTTCAGACAGAACTCAATATTAATATTATTATAAACTTCAACAAAATCATTTTTAGACGCAGTACAGTCAGCGTTAAATAGTTCGTGACATCCAAAGAAGCCAAAAACTTGTCAACACAACCTTATTCCAATTACATTAGAGACGTGTTGCGAACCTTTTGGTTACTTTTTGGGTGTCACGAACTATTTGAAGCTGACTGTACTTAGCTAATAAGCACTGTGGCTTCATAAGAGGTATTTTACTGCAAAGATGTTCAATATTTCTACTCCAATCATAGCTAGGTACGACTTTCATAATAAACGGCGTCTGTGTTGCCTGAAAACTGAAAGAGTCTCCGAAATATCGAATGCTATTCGCATTCAGCCTCGTTGGAGGAGCCTTTTGTGAGACGAACACAACTTTCAGCAGAATGAAAGGCCGAAACTAGTGAAATACGAGAAAAAACGCTGAATGGTAAAGAGATGTTAAAGTGCACGACCCCAGTTTCAGTATTCGTATTTTACTGCGAAGAGTCTTGGCTATTTTGTAATTTACGATCACATTAGGTACATGTTCGGAATATTCTCCGATACAATTACTCTGATAAAGGTAATCGTTTCCTCTGTTATTTGGTTCGTTTGGTAGTTAGAGTATCTACATTACATCTAGCGAAAAGAAATTAATCGAATAAGACGACTCTTTTTATTACTTTTGTTCGGGCTACACTCATTCATTTCGACTATAATATAATTATTATGGTAATTTTATTTAACTTTCTCGACAACTGCATTAGTTGCCGATTTCGGTGATTGTTTACTCCTTCTCTGTGACATCTTCTAAATCATCTTCAAAATACCTAAATTGATTTAATTTCAATGAATGGATTATAATGCACAGAAAACGGCACATTAGGCTAACAATGTGGCATCTAATGTTGTTGTACCGGTGCTATTATGCCAAAAATGCATTAGTCTGATGTGCTATCGTTTGTAAAAGTGAGAAACCTGGATTCCGCAAACGGTGTGAATGGAATAGACGGGTTAGAGGGTTGTATCCATCCGTAACCGATATAAACCGATAACTCTGAATTCCGAAGAGATGCGGAGTGCACGATATTCGTTTATTCACGTGCCTTGAGAGCGGGAGAGATCTCGCGGTACGTGAGGGAATTTTCCCACCGCCCTTATATGGGAAAATACGAGTGAAAAGAGATCGGTTTAAAATAAATAAATCTTGTTTATAATAATAATAATCATAATAATCATTTATTTATTGCTTCATAAGTGTACATAGGTGGTGATCTTAAACTTAGTCTCAACTTATGACCCTGTAAGGGTGTTGCAAATCTTGTATCGTAGGTACATTACTAAATATTCTACAATAGTTAGTAATAATTATTAATATTGATAAATTATAAAATTAATTAGTTTACATAATTTTACATTACAATTAAAATACAATAATGTTTCTCCATACCTATTCATACATAATTTTCATCATCGCATCCTACTCAAATTATAGAACTCCTGAATACTATAAAGACATTTTGATATAAGGAACTCTTTTAGCTTGGCCAAGAATAATGAGTCTTTTTCAATATTTTTTAAATAGGTAGGCAGTTTATTATAGACTACTATGGACATGTGGTAGACTCCTGATCTTACCAGGTGAAGCTTAGTGTCGGGTAATGCTAATCTATCTTTGTATCTTAAGTTACGGGGTGCTGAATATTGTTCTTTTGCTTGAGAGTAAATAATTTTATTCTCTCTGACAAATTTACATAGACCTAGGATATAAATTGATGTTAGTGTTAATATTTNTTTAGAAATAATACTCGTGTTTTTGATGCTTAAAATAAGAGTTAGGTAACTTTTTTTTATTTGTAGCTTTGAAAGTAAGACATCACTGGCAGAAGCCACATCTACTAGAATGACGCAGCTTTGCCCCTTCTCTCTCCACGAACGTAGGGTTTATCTACCTATGTACTTACTGATTTGATTCATTCTGAAAATTAACATCACTGATGACCAACTAACTCATCATGACCTACCTAGCAACTTTTCCCACTCTTTCCCTGCCTAAACCAAACCTAGGGTATTGCACCAAATACGGTGACAAAAGTAGAATCGTTACTGTCTTCATTTCACCTCGGGGTCGGGACCATTTTACCGCCATTTAAATGCAAAAGCTTCTTCGCCAACCAAAAAATTATTTAGGTACAACATATTGGGTTCACAAATAAAAGGTAATCATTTTTCCACATCAAAATGAATGATCATCCTCTGGTCCCGCCCAGCTCCTCGAATGGCGAACTACAAAGCTTTATGTAACGCCCGGGGCATGTGGAGTGTCGAAATAAAACTGCTGTTATCAATATAATTGATGGTTATGTATCGTAAAACAATAAAGAATTCAGTTCTTACTAAGGGAGCTTTTTAGATTGGGGGAATTTTTATGCGTAAAAAGAGCAATAAAAGATGGGAACAAAAAGTCTTTTATTTTTGTAAATGCGCATCTGTTGGATGATCAAACGAACTTACCAAGTGAAGTTCGATCTGAATTATCCTGTTTTCGCCGAAGAGATTTAAGGTCCCTCCCAACCCGAAGATTTCTATATCTTCTTCCCTGGAGGTAAACGTCAATGTCATCTCTTCTCTAAATATAATGAGACCGCTCGGACACCGAGCCCACAGCGTGGTAGGGGTGGGGTTGCCCGCTCTTTTGTTTTTTANCTTAAGCATTTTTCTTATACTGCGTGCGGTCGTTGCGCGTGCGCACAAAGGAATGAGACCGCTCGGACACCGAGCCCACAGCGTGGTAGGGGTGGGGTTGCCCGCTCTTTTTGTTTTTTACTACTACTACGATGAATATTGTGTGCGGATTGGGTTGTCGTACAGGGGTACTACACGGTAAAATAAATCTCGGAGGCGAAAGCAGGATAATTTCAAATACAATACAAGATCTTCAACTTGAATGTAGTGTTAATGTAAAAGTTTTTCATATTGTTTTACATGAACACCATGCCACGAAAACTTTTCAAAATAAGCGTCTGGAATAAATGGGGTACATGTCCTTATTCTAATACAAAGGACGCACAAGTTTTCCTAACAGCAATAACATAATAACTATAAGACACAAAAATGACTAATAAAGTGAAGTCTCAAGCCAAAAGCTCCTTCTAAACTTTACATAGAAATAACAAACTATTTATCTCATCAATTCGATCCAACTAAAACAACCAATCAAACCGCCTACACATATCCAGGAGTCGAGAAAATTAAATATCATTTACTTAGTATAGAGAAAATAGGCCCGCTAAGATAAATAAATAAAATTGGCTCAAGCGATAATAAATTCAATCTTATACGTCGAGGGCTTCGCGTGTTCTTTACTTATCTTCCTTAATAAACAATTGACGGCAAATCAAGATACCAACAACATGGTGGTATTTGTATTTACTCACTAGCTTTCCGCCCGCGGCTTCGCCCGCGTGGAATTTTGTCTGTCACAGAAAAACTTCATCGCGCGCGTCCCTGTTTCAAAAACCGGGATAAAAACTATCCTATGTTCTTTCCCGGGACTCAAACTATCTCTATGCCAAATTTCATCAAAATCGGTTGCGAGGTTTAAGCGGGAAAGCGTAACAGACAGACAGACAGACAGACAGACAGACAGACAGACAGACAGAGTTACTTTCGCATTTATAATATTAGTTGGGATTGGGATGGGATTCAGTCGTAATAGAAGCTATTTTGCAATAAAACTAGTCCTGTAGGTGTGGGGGGAGTATAAAAAAAACAATCATCATCATCATTAACAACAACCCATTATAGTCCACTGCTGGACTGAGCCTCCTCCACTATAGTGGAGGGTTTTGCCATAATCCGCTTGGCAGGCGGGTTGGCGATCGCAGTTTAAAATATTGATGTTTTTCAGAGAGCGTTGCTGCCAGTTCTCTGTTAGATGTTTAGTCCCTAAGAAAAACAATATCGAGACATTTCGTACTTGCCTCTAAAGACTCATAAATTGGAGATATGTATTTTATTAATATCATCCAGGTATGTTACAATAAAATAAATTATGACACTCCAATACCAACAACAAAGCCCTTGAGCAGTGGAAAATTTCGCGTTGAATGGGAACCAGAATTTTCGGAGGTGATGACAACTCCCAGGTCGTTGTAGACAANCAAAGTAGTAAAAACCACCTGTTATAGGGGCATTTTTTGGAGAAATTTATCAAATAACCAAAAAAACACGAATTTAAAAGCAGATTTTTTTCAAAAAGTATCATTTTTTATTATTTGTTGGCCTTTTTTG